TTGCGTACGTGTGTATGCTGGTGCGTGTGTGTGCCTGCTGGTGCGTGTGCATTCGTGCGTGCTGCTGGTGCGTGGCGGTGCGAGCGAGCAGGAGTGGATCCAGCAGAACGGCGTGCTGTCCATCGTGCTGCGGGACAGCCTGCACCAGCCGCAGTACGTGGAGAAGCTGGAGAAGATCCTGCGCTTCGTCATCAAGGAGAAGGCGCTCACCCTGCAGGACCTCGACAATATCTGGGCCGCACAGGCACGGAGACCCGCGGGGGACACGGGGACGTGGGGATGCGCAGCTGACACCGGGACGCGCGGGGGGACACGCGGGGACACTTGGCGGGATGAGTGGGGGGACGCTTGGCGGGACACGCGGGGACACACAGGGAGACGACACGCAGGGAAATACGGTGTGGGGGGGGGTGCGGGGAGATACGGGGACATACGAGGGTATGCAGGGAGACACGGAAAGGCAGCGCTATCCCCATGAATCTGTTGTGGTTACAGGACGTCTCTGTCCCCGTGTCACCATGTCTCTGTCTCCATGTCCCTGTGTGTCTGTCCCCTTGTGTCTGTCCCCTTGTGTCTGTCCCCTTGTGTCTGTCCCCTTGTGTCTGTCCCCTTGTGTCTGTCCCCTTGTGTCTGTCCCCTTGTGTCTGTCCCCTTGTGTCTGTCCCCTTGTGTCTCCCCGCGTGTTCAGGCCGGCAAGCACGAGGCGATTGTGAAGAATGTCCACGACCTCCTCGCCAAACTCGCCTGGGACTTCTCCCCCGAGCAGCTCGACCACCTCTTTGACTGCTTTAAGGTGGGTGGCTTCGTAGGGGGGGGGTGAGAGGGTGGGTGGGTGGGTGGTAGAGGGGGGTGAGTGGGTGGGAGCGGGTGAGCGACCGAGCACGCTCGCTTGTGCGCTCCCATCATCCCACCTCACCACTCCCCCCGCTCACCCTCCGCTCGCCCTCACCAGGCGAGCTGGACCAACGCTAGCAAGAAGCAGCGCGAGAAGCTGCTGGAGCTGATCCGGCGGCTGGCGGAGGACGACAAGGACGGGGTGATGGCCCACAAGGTGCTGAGCCTGCTGTGGAACCTGGCACACAGCGACGACGTCCCCGTCGACATCATGGACCAGGCGCTGAGCGCGCACATCAAGATCCTGGACTACAGCTGCTCGCAGGCACGCACCACTTAACGCACCGCACACGGGCACACGCGCAAGTGGTGGTGGTGACCTGTGTGGTAGTGGTGACCCGTGTGTGGTGGTGGTGACCTTGTGGTGGTGGTGGTGACCTTGTGCTAGTGATGGTGGTGGTGTTGACGGTGTGCTAGTGGTGGTGACCATGTGGTGGTGGTGACCTTGTGCTAGTGACGGTAGTGGTGTTGACGGTGTGATGGTGGTGGTGGTGATCGTGTGGTGGTGGTGACGTGTGGTGGTGGTGACCGTGTGGTGGTGGTGACCTTGCGCTAGTGATGGTAGTGGTGTTGACGGTGTGCTAGTGATGGTGGTGGTGACCGTGTGGTGGTGGTGACCTTGCGCTAGTGATGGTAGTGGTGTTGACGGTGTGCTAGTGATGGTGGTGGTGACCGTGTGGTGGTGGTGACCTTGTGCTAGTGATGGTAGTGGTGTTGACGGTGTGCTTGTGGTGGTGGTGGTGTTGTTGTTGTGACGCAGGACCGTGACTCCCAGAAGATGCAGTGGATCGACCGCTTCATCGAGGAGCTGCGTAACGACAAGTGGGTCATCCCCGCACTCAAGCAGATCAAGGAGATCTGCAGCCTGTTCGGAGAAGCCCCACAGAACGTCAGGTGACCCGCCTGCCCGTCCGCCCGCCCACCACCACTCACCACCGCTCACCACCACTCCCCTTCCACCATCCTGCCATGGCTACGTACTATACTATCCACTACACTCTTATACACCGCACTATACACTCCACTGTAATACACTACACATTACACTACACTACCATACACTACGTTGTGTACTGTGTGAAAGAAGTTAAACGTAAATCTTTGACTTAAAGCTTTCGTGACTGCAATAATTCATATTCTTGGGTCTTTCGGTAAAGTCACTCAGATAGGTTCAAAGAAAATAACAAAAAAACTACGACGTTTCCATCGCAACACAAGCGGTCGTCTTCAGGAGGAAAAAAGGAGGGTGAAAGCTGCTTAGGCAAACAGCCTGCAAACAGCCTGCAAACAGCCTGCAAACAGCCTGCAAACAGCCTGCAAACAGCCTGCAAACAGCCTGCAAACAGCCTGCAAACAGCCTGCCTCAGCAGCTTTCCTGATGACGATTGCTTGTGTTGCGATCGAAACGTCGTAGTTTTTTGTTATGCTTTGTTATTTGCTTTGAACATATCTACGTGTCTTTACCGAAAGACCCAAGAATAAGTTAAACGTACGTAAATACATACATGCTTAATCGTTTGGCGAACCGGCAGCCAACTCCACGCGCATCTCTCTCTCTCGCGCGCGTGCCACCAGCCAAATGCAGCGTAACCCCCACGTGTTCTACCGGCACGACCTCATCAACCAACTGCAGCAGAACCACATGCTGGTGACGCTGGTGGCGGAGAACCTCGCCGCCTACATGGATGTCATGAAGCAGTATGCCAAGGGTAAGGACACGCTCACTCGCGCACACAGTCGGTCACACGCTCGCTCAATCACCCGCGCACTTGCTCACGCGCGTGCTCACACGCACACTCGGTCACGCTCGCGCTCGCACGCACTCGTGTGCTAACACGCTCATTCACACTCGCGCTCACACTCAGGCTCGCTCAGTCTCACTCACATTTACTCACGCTCACACTCGCTATCGCACTTGCTCTCACGCTTACTCACACTCGCTCTCATTAACTCACTCATGCTCGCTCGGTCTCACTCACTCATTCTCTCACTCGCTCGCTAGCTTTTCCTACCTCGCTCTCCCTCTCTTCCTCTCACCGCCACGGTGCACTCTCTTACCACCATGTCTTGTGCGCGTATGTCCGTGTGGGGAGCGGTAGTGTAGCGGTTAGTGCGCTGTGCTACGAACCTGGAGACCCAGGTTTGATTCCCGCTCGCGGCAAACACCATTGACGATTATCTTAACCGGTCATGGGCATCCCCTAGGTCGACTCGGCCTCAAATGAGTACCTGGTGTGGTGTGTAAACATCGCCACTAGGGAGACAAAGGTGGCCGGACGTGTGTGGTGCTGGCCACCCACCCCCTTGTGTGCTGTGCCGGCCTTCATTGCTGCTACTCGCTAACAGCACTTCCCCCAAACAGTCTGTCAAGGCAATACGGGGGTCTTTCTGTGTGTGTGTGTACGTGCGTGTGCTCATGTGTGTGCTTGTGTTTGCATACGCATGTGTGTGCGCGTGTACGTGCGTGTACTCGTGTGTGTGTGTGTGCTTGCGTGTGCATACGTACGTGCGTGTACTCATGTGTGTGCTTGCGTGTGCATACGCATGTGTGTGCGTGTACGTGCGTGTACTCGTTTGTGTGTGTCTGTGCGTGTACTGGTGTCTGTGTGCTTGCGTGTGCATACGTATGTGTGTGTGTGCTTGCGTGTACTCATGTGTGTGCTTGCGTGTGCAGAGCATCCGGAGTACGACCCGCTGAGTGTGCGTCCCGGCAGCCGATACAGCCACGTGCAGGAGGTGCAGGAGCGGCTCGCCTTCCTCAGGTGCTCACCCCGCCTCCTAACCCCCCTCCTCCCCTCCCCCTTCAACCCTGCCCAAGCCTTCTTGGACCTTTGCTGGCCTTCGTGTGCAACACCGAGCCGCCTCAAGCCTTGAGGGCCCTTTCACACCGGCCTTTTTTTCCCTTCTCAACCCCTCTCTGAGCTCCTTTGTGGGCCTTCACGGGCCCTTTGTCTGCCATCTTGGGCCTTCATTGGCCTCAGGCCCTTGTCGGGTGCTGTGTGGGCCTTTGCTGGGCCTTCGTTGGTCCTTTGTTAGGCCTTTGTGGCCTTTTGCTCGCCTTCTCTGGACCATCGCTGCACTTCTTTGGCTTTCCTTTTCCTTGGCTGGCCTCGGGCCCTTCTCTCTCAGGCCCTTAGCTCTTTACGGGCCTTTGCGGACCTTCTTGCGCGTGACTAAGCCACTTGAAACCTTCAATCGCCCGCCGTGTGTCTCCAGAACCCTCGTGCTGTTGCCGTCAGCTTTACCTGACGTCCACTTGTCGTCTCTCTTCCACCTCGCTCTCCCTCTCTCCTGGTTTCTCCCCCCCCCCCCACTCTCCCTGCACCTTGTTGCTTCCCCTACCGTTACCCCCCCCCCCACACCGTCGCCCTCCACCCCTCAGGTTCCTGCTGAAGGACGGGCAGCTGTGGCTTTGCTCTCCGCAAGCGAAGCAGATCTGGCGCTGCCTGGCCGAGAGCGCTGTCTACCTGTGCGACCGGGAGGCCTGCTTTAGGTGGTTCTCCAAGCTGATGGGCGACGAGCCCGACCTGGACCCCGACATCAACAAGGAGTTCTTCGAGAGCAACGTCCTGCAGCTGGACCCCTCGCTGCTCACCGAGAACGGCATGAAGTGCTTCGAGAGGTTCTTCAAGGGTGAGGGGCCCGCTCACCGACGCACCCGCTCATGCGCTCATCCACGCACCCGCTCACCGACTCGCCCACTCACCGACTTGCTTGTGGTGTTCGTTTTGAGAATTGTGGTTGTAATGTGGTTGTGGCGGTTGTTGCAGCGGTGAACTCTCGGGAGGGGAAACTGGTTGCTAAGCGACGCACGTACATGATGGATGACCTGGAGCTCATCGGCCTTGACTACCTGTGGAGGGTGCGTGTTGCCACGGCAACAACACATGGCAACAACACATGGCAACAACACATGGCAACAATACACGGCAACATCCGACAACGCAGGACAATGCACGGCAACAACACGGCAACACACGACAACAATACAAAGCAGCAACATGACAGCAGCATTGCAACACCTGGCAACACGCAGCAACGCATGGTAACGTGACAAAGCATGGCATCCCACAGCAAAAATATGGCAGCACATGACAACACGGCAACAACATGACAACAGCATGGAAACACGGGGCAACACACGGCAACAACACGGCAACAACACGGCAACACACGGCAACACACGGCAACACACGGCAACACACGGCAATCCCGTGACCCCAGGTCGATTGCCGCTCACGACCAACACCAGTGACGATTTTTCGAACTGATCCTGGGCCTCCCCTAGGTCGACTCGGCCTCATATTAGTAGCTGTTCGAGTGTGTAGTAAACATCAGCACTGGGGAGACAAAGGCGGCCGTGCATGGTGCTAGCCACCCACCCCCTCGTGTTCCACAGTGCCGGCCTTAATAGGTGTTACTCGACTTAAAACTTTCGTGACTGCAGGAATTAATTTTCTTTTGTTCTTTTGGTAAAGTCACGTAGATGGAAAAATAAAAAAATAAAGTGAATAAAAATCATAAAAATAAACAACAAAACATACTAATGTAGACTGTAGCCTGGTTCTTAATCGGAGTGAGTGTACTCGCAGTCTATAATGTAGACTGTAGCCTGTGTCTTCACCTCGGTGAGCGTACACGGTAGGACCAATATTTCTGCCATGGCTGATCATTATTTTAATGCGGCTGGTTCACACGAAATTAATTTCTCTAAGACGATGGTACTTTGCAAGCCTACTGGCTATCAACAAAGATTTGTTCACGAAGCCATCCATATATACAGACAATTTCAAGGATGGTTATAAACTCAGCAATCATTGGAAACATGTCGTCAACCACTTTGGGTCATGACTTGATTTGTGTTTTCTTTTCAACCTCCACCGTCAGCAGTGTGGGTATGTGGAGCAAGGTGCAGTGATTGCCTGGCGGCCCTTTTGATTGGTGTAGACCGACTGCACTGACATTGCTTTCTCCTACATTAACATCATGCTGCTGACACACCTGGGCTACGCCCATCTCTAAACCTTTATAAACAGTTTGCCTTGAGAGGCTAACCCCCCCCCTTTTCCTGATGATGACCGCTTGTCTTGTGATGGATGTGGTTTTTTGTTTTTATTAAACTTTTATTATATTTAAATTACTGAAAGAACCAAGAATAAGTCTATATTATAGACTGCCAGTACGCTCACTCAGGTTAAGAACCAGGCTACAGTCTACATTCGTGGTTTTTTGTTTATTTTATTTTTATTCACTTAATTTTTTATTAGAATTTTTCCATTCTACATAACTTTACCAAAATGACTAAAGAATCGGTGTTATTCGCTCATAGCACTTGCCCCAAAAGTCTGTTAAACGCTACCCAGGAGGGACCTTGGTATTTGTGTTCATGTTGATAGACTAGCTGATGTGTCTGCATGTGGTGTGCTGGTCACCCACCCCCTCATGTGCCACAGTGCCTTCTTTCGTAGGCACTTCTCGCTACTAACGGCACTTGCCCCAACAGTCTGTTAAAGGCTACCCCGGGGACCTTTGTCTGTGTGTGGTCATAGCTGGTGATCCACGGCAGCGACGACATCGCAAACCGTGCCATCGACCTCCTGAAGGAGATCTACACCAACCTGGGGCCCCGGCTTCAGACGAGCCAGGCAGGAGACTTGCAGAGTCGCACAGAGACTCGCACAAACTCGCAGAGTCGCACAAACTCACCGAGTCACACAGACTCACAGACTTACCGAGTCACAGACTCACTGAGACTCACAGAGTCGCACAGAGACTCGCACAAACTCGCAGAGTCGCACAGACCCACTGAGACTCACAGACTCATGGAGACTCGCAGAGTCACACAGAGTCACACAGAGTCACACAGAGTCACACAGAGTCACACAGAGTCACACAGAGTCACACAGACTCACTGAGACTCACAGAGTCACACAGACTCACATAGTCACACAGAATCACTGAGACTCACCGAGTCGCACAGACTCAGACTCGCACAAACTCGCAGAGTCACACAGACTCACAGACTTACCGAGTCACACAGACTCACCGAGACTCACATAGTCACACAGAATCACTGAGACTCACCGAGTCGCACAGACTCGCGCAAACTCACCGAGTCACACAGACTCACAGACTTACCGAGTCACACAGACTCACCGAGACTCACAGAGTCACACAGAATCACTGAGACTCACCGAGTCGCACAGACTCACTGAGACTCGCTGAGACTCACCGAGTCGCACAGACTCACTGAGACTCACAGTCACACAGAATCACTGAGACTCGCAGAGTCACACAGACTCATGGAGACTCACAGAGTCGCACACTCACAGACTCACCGAGTCGCACAGACTCGCTGAGACTCGCAGAGTTACACAGAATCACTGAGACTCACAGAGTCACACAGACTCACAGACTCGCGCAAACTCACCGAGTCACACAGACTCACCGAGTCGCACAGACTCACTGAGACTCACCGAGGCGCACAGACTCGCTGAGACTCGCAGAGTCACACAGAATCACTGAGACTCACAGAGTTACACAGACTCACAGACTCGCGCAACTCACCGAGTCACACAGACTCACCGAGTCGCACAGACTCACTGAGACTCACTGAGACTCACCGAGGCGCACAGACTCGCTGAGACTCGCAGAGTCACACAGAATTACTGAGATTCACCGAGACTCACCGAGTCGCACAGACTCACCGAGTCGCACAGACTCACCGAGTCACACAGACTCACTGAGACTCACTGAGACTCACCGAGGAGCACAGACTCGCTGAGACTCGCAGTCGCACAGAATCACTGAGATTCACCGAGTCACACAGAATCACTGAGATTCACCGAGTCACACAGACTCACTGAGACTCACCGAGGCGCACAGATACTCAGAGAATCACGGAACCACACTGAGACGGCCATACTGCACCAATGTCTGTCTCATTCCGACGATCTCCGATGACCTCTTATGATCCCCGTCGGTAGTGGTGACGGTGGCGGTGCGATGACGGTGCGGTGACGGTGGTGGGGCGGTGTCTGTGACGGTGGCGGCGGCGGCCACACACGTGAGCAGGTGGAGATCCACGAGGACTTTGTGCAGTCGTGCTTCGACCGGCTGCGTGCGTCGTACGACACGCTGTGCGTGCTGGACGGCGACAAGGACGGCGTGAACGGTGCACGCCAGGAGGCGGTGCGCATGGTGCGCGTGCTCACCGTGCTGCGGGAGTACGTCACCGAGTGCGACGGAGACTACCACGAGGAGAGGACTATCCTGCCCATGGCCCGGTGAGAGACGCCACGCCGCACTATCACGACACGCGTACACGCACGCACTGCCACCACACACGCACTACCGTGACACACGCACGCATGCATTACCATAACCCACACCACCACCACCACCACGACGTTCACACACACACATACAGTCACGGACGCATACATGCGCACAAAAGCATGCACGTGCACAGACACGTACGCACAGAGGCACTAGAACGAGCAGAAGCCCATGGCCCGGTGCCTGCGGTGTGCGTTCCAAGCTTGGCTGACAATCTGTGTGCGGGGCCGTGTGGCGTGGTGCGTGTGGTGTGCGGTGCAGGGCGTTCCGAGGGAAGCACGTGTCGCTGGTGGTGCGGTTCCCGAGCCAGGCGAGGCAGGTGGAGGACCTGGACGTGTGGTCCCACACCAACGACTCGGTGGGGTCGGTGCGGCGCTACATCCTGTCGCGCGTCAAGGGCAACAGCGCGCACACCAAGGTACGGTCCAGTGCGGTGTGTGATGTGTGGTGGTGTGTGTGGAGTGTGCGGTGTGTGGTGATTACTACCTCGCCCGGTACACAGGAGGTTGTGGGTTCGATCCCGACCCTGACGATGCTTGCTGCTGTTATCCCCGTGGTTGCGTGTTTTTTTTCTCCGGGTCCTCCGATTTTTCCCTTCACATTTAGAGTCGATGTCACGCTTTTAGATTATTTGCCTGTTGCTATACATGTCCACGTGATGACGATAAGCCACTTAGTTGAGCTATCATTTGTGATGGCCAGGTCACTTCTGAAAAAGAGGTGCATAGCTCGGTGGGCCTTACTTGGTAGAATAGAAATAATTCTAGATTTGAAGCTTTCGTGACTGCAAGGATTCATGCTATGTGTTTTTTTGGTAAAGTGACGTAGGTAAAATAAAAATAAAATGAATGAAAACAACTAAATTAAATCACGACGTTTCGGAGGCAACACAAGCTTCCGTCTTCAGGTGGAACAGTCACAACACCATCAATATGTAAACTCCCCCCCTCGCCGGTCTGCACATGTTCACCCCCTCTACACCGTTCATCAAGTCCGCCAATTAAATGCTATTTTTTATGTTAATTCCTTTGTCAAGGCGCCTTAATTCCTCTCACACAAGTTTAAAGGTCGCGGACTGAGCTTGGCTGTGTTCACTCCAGCGCTGTCCTCGAGACAGTCTGGTCCCTTCACCTGATGAAGGCCACTTGTGTTGTGGCCGAAACGTCGTGAATTTTTTATTTTTTATTTTGTGTTGTTTTATACTTTTACGTGACTTTACCGAATAGTATAAAATAGAAATAGTTTAGTTTTTAGTGTGGTGTGGCGTGTGTGTATGTGGGGAGCAGTGGCGCAGCTGTTAGCGTGCTGCCATACGAAATTGTCAGAAACCCGAGTTTGATTCCCTGTCACTTCCACCAGCACCATTGATGATTATATTGGTGAACTGGTCCTGGGCCTCCTCTAGGTCGACTCGGCTTCAAATTAGTACCTGGTGCGATTAGGGGGGAGACAAAGGCGGCCGGGTGTGGTGCTGTCCACCCACTCCTTCATGTGCCACAGTGCCGGCCTTCATAGGTGCTGCTGCTACTCGCTTCTATCAGCACTTACCCCAGCAATGTGTGAGGCTACACGGGGGACCTTTGTCTGTGTGCAGGTGGAGTTATACATCAATGGGGAGCTGGTGGACCCCAGCGAGGACCGCAAGCTCATTGGCCAGCTCAACCTCAAGGACAAGACGGTAACTAAGGCAACCAGATGGGTAACCATGGTGACCTGGGTAACCATGGTGACCTGGGTAACCATGGCAATTGTAGTGGCCAAATTTCAATGGGGTGCAGGCAGTGTGTGTGCTGTGTGGCTTTACCCTGTGTAGTTGTGCTGTGTGTACATGTACCGTACGTGTGAATGGTGTGTGTACCGTGTGTGTGGATACCGCATGTCAGCGTGTGTGTACTGTGTGGATACTGCATGTCTGTGTACTGTGTGGCCTGGTCTCAGCTAGCTGTTGAAAGTTGCAAGCGAGAATTTCAACATCGCTTGCAGCTGATGTTGGCAGAGTCCCCCACTCCTCCCGGTGCAGAGGGGAAATGGGCGAGGTTTAGGACTGTGGCTCATGCAGCTGCAATGGCTACTTTGGGTACATGGTACACACATCCCAAGAGACCCTGGCTGATAGAGGAGGTATTCAGGCTGGCTGAGAAAAAGCGACAGGCCCACTCACCGTCTACAGCATCCCACGTCGGAGAATGAGGAGGCTTACCTTGCAGCCTTCGCTCGGAGAGCCGTGAGGCGCTGCAAGGATGGGTGGTGGCCGTGGGTTGCTGAGGAGATAGAGTCTGCCTCAGTGGCCACCGATCACAAATCACTATTTAACTCCATAAAAAAGTAACCTGCAGCGCCACACCTATTACCATCATTAGGGGAAAAAATGGTGATCCAATCTCCGGAACAGGTTTGCAGATTTACTGAGTGTTTCTGTGAGGTCTTGGGGGAGGGGAAATCCCTCAGCCTGGAAAACATCGTGGGACAAGGTGGGGATAATCCTGCTGAGGCTGCGGTGCCTCAAATATTGGAAGAAGTAGTGAGACCAGGAAAAGCACCGGGGAGAGATAATCTCCCAAGTGAAATGCTGAGAGAGGGTGGCGTTTGTGTACAGACTGCCCTACATTTCATCAAAACAGTCTGGACCACTGGACGGGTTCCGCTGGATTCGAAGGATGCCCTGGTGGTCCCCCTCTTTAAGAAGGGGGACCGCACAGACTGTAACAACTACAGGGGCATCTCACTCCTCAGTGTGCCGGGAAACGTCCTGGCAAGGATTATTCAGCATCGCCTTGCCAGACACGCTGAGGAGAGGCTTGCGGAGCCCCAAAGTGTTTTCAGGTCAGGGCGGTCCTGCACAGATGTCGTGTTTTCTATCCGTCTGCTACAGCAGAGGTGTAGGGAATTCCAACAAGACCTACATCTCTGCTTTATTGACCTAGTCAAGGCCTATGATACCATCAGTAGGCCTGGGCTCTGGGTTGTTCTTTGGGCAGTTGGAGGCAGTCGCCCTCCAGCAACAACGGAGGGCAGAGGAACAACGCACACAACAACAAGCGGAGCGCCATGCGGCTAAAACACATTTGGCACAGTAGGGGGCACAGGTGGTGCATCGGCCACTCATCTCAGTCAACCCGTGGCACCTGGGTCTGCCCCGTGACCTCCTGCCAGCGGGCGTTCGACACTTCACGTGGCCTTAACGTGCACATGGCCTGGCACATGGCCTGGCACAAGCGCCGTGGTGACATCACCGCCACTTAGTGAAAAATGGCAGCTGTTGTTGTGTACCGCGTGTGTGTACTGCGTATGTGTACCGTGTGTGTGTACCGTGCGTGAACCATGTGTACATGTACCGCTGCCACCTTCGCCACTGCCCCCACCGCCACGGTGAGCCCAGCTGATGACGGCGAAGCTGACGCAGGCGAGTGGCAACATGCCCTCCAGCCCGGACTCCTCCTCCGACTCCTCCACGGGCTCGCCCAGCAACCACGGCAACCGTTTCAGCGACGGACCCAACGTCGAAGCCGAGAAATGCCTGCCGGGCGTGGTGCGTCGCCCTGCCACACTGCCACACCGCCACTACACCAACACCGCACTGCCACCACACCTCCGCCTCGCCACACTACCAGCGCACCACCAACGCACTGCCACCTGCACTCCCACCCCACTGGCACCACACCGCAACCACATCGCACCACACCGCCACCCTGCCACACCACCGCACTGCCACATTGCCCACTCAACGGCACTTACCCCGACAGTCTGATGAAGGCCACACGGGGGACCTGCGTCTGTGTGCAGATCATGTCCATGCAGCCGCAGTACGTGAGCTTCCTGTGGCAGATCGCGGACATGGGCAGCTCGCTGTGCATGCCCACGCTGCGCGACGGAGCCCGCACACTCATGAAGCTCATGCCAGCCGGTACGGCGGGAACAGTCCCAACCACGCCAGCACCGGTGCCACCACCACCAGCACCTGGCTCACCACCACCGCCACTCGGCTTACCAGCACCGCCACTCAACTCACCACCACCACCACCACTCGGCTCACCGCCACTCAGCTCACCAGCACCACCACCATCACTTGGCTCACCGCCACTCAGCTCACCAGCACCACCACTCGGCTCACCACCACCACCACTTGGCTCACCACCACCACTCGGCTCACCACCACCGCCACTCAGCTCACCAGCACCACCACCACCACTCGGCTCACCACCACCGCCACTCAGCTCACCAGCACCACTCGGCTTACCACCACCGCCACTCAACTCACCAGCACCACCACCACTCGGCTCGCCACCACCGCCACTCAGCTCACCGCCACTCAGCTTACCAGCAACCATCCCGTTTAGACCCCTCTATCCAGCCGAAAAAAAGCTGTTTAGGCATGCGGTGGCTGAGCATGCGGTCTACATGACCCAGACCACGCAGCCTCGCCTGCCTGAGGAGCTCACCGATGGAACTTTGTCCAGATATTTGAAGGATTTGTGAACTTCTCACACAATCCTGCCTGCAGGTTAAACCCAGGATGGGATCGTAGGCAGGCCTGCCTAAATGTTTCTAACCGGCGAAGATGTTCAATTAGGGGGGTCCACGTTTCGCAAGCGTAGAGAAGGGAGGGCATGACCCTGGACGAGAAGACCCGAAGCTTCGTGCAGAGTGACAGACCACCAGGTAGCTTCCACACAGCGTTACGCAGTTGATAAAAAGATGTCACTTGACTGATTCGGAATGAGACCTCTGTTGTCAAACCGGAGCCATTCATGAGCTCTACCACCAATACAAATACCTGCCGTTCACCACTAAGTGACGGTGATGTCACCATGGCACCACCTAGCTCACCAACGCCGCCACCACCACCGCTATTTAGCTCTCCTCTCCTCACCTCCCCACTGCTCCACCCCACCTATCACCCTCCTCCTCCATCTCCCCCACCACGACCAGACAACAAGACTGTGGAGCAGCTGCGTGCCCTGTGCCTGGACCGCGCGAAGCTGGGCGAGGACAGTCGTGGGCCCTCCCTGGAGTCGCTCTTCTTCGCGCCCAGCTGCTCGCGGGTGCTCTACCTGGCGGAGGTGGTCTACGCGTTGCTCATGCCGGCCAACGCCCCCCTCGGTGAGGAGGCCACCGAGTTCCAGTTCAACTTCTGCCGCAGCGGCGGCGTTCCCCTGGCGTTCGCCATGCTGTCGCGCAACAACTTCCTGCCGGGGGCGGACGCGGAGACGCGCCGAGCCGCCTGCCTCACCGCCCTCAAGGTGGCCAAGCTGACGCTGGCGGCCGTCGCCTATGGCCACGTGAGGGCCGTCGCCGAGGCGTGCCAGGCGCAGGAGCGGGCCGCGCCCACGGTATGTGCCGGCGGTGGCGGTGACGAATGAGGCAGCGACAAACCGTTGTGACCACTCGACCATGACCACCATCATCACCACTGCGCACGTCATAACGCTCACAACCATAACCACCACGGCCACCATCATCACTGCCACAACCACCGCCACGGCGCACGCCATAACGCATACCACCATAGCCACCATGACCACCACCATGGCGCACACCATAACACAACAAAATACACGTCATAGCATACACCACCATAACAACCCACATGATAACAACCACCACCACGGCACACACCATAACAACCCACACCATAACCACCACATAACAACCCACACCATAACACACACCTCTGCCTACACCGCAACCCACACCACTCCCACACCATAACCCGCACCACAATCACCCCTGGGGGATGTTTGGTAGGGGTTGGGGGGGGTGAGGGTGTTGGTGTGTGTGGTGATGGTGAGGGTGGTGCAGTGTTGGTGTGTGTGTGGTGATGGTGAGGGTGGTGCAGTGTTGGTGTGTGTGTGTGTGGTGATGGTGAGGGTGGTGCGGTGTTGGTGTGTGTGTGTGGTGATGGTGAGGGTGGTGCGGTGTTGGTGTGTGTGTGTGTGGTGATGGTGAGGGTGGTGTTGGTGTGTGTGGTGATGGTGAGGGTGGTGCAGTGTTGGTGTGTGTGTGTGGTGATGGTGAGGGTGGTGCAGTGTTGGTGTGTGTGTGTGGTGATGGTGAGGGTGGTGCGGTGTTGGTGTGTGTGTGTGTTGTGAGGGTGGTGCGGTGTTGGTGTGTGTGTGTGGTGAGGGTGGTACGGTGTTGGTGTGTGTGTGTGGTGATGGTGAGGGTGGTGCGGTGTTGGTGTTGGTGTGTGTGTGGTGATGGTGAGGGTGGTGCGGTGTTGGTGTGTGTGTGGTGATGGTGAGGGTGGTGCGGTGTTGGTGTGTGTGTGTGTGGTGATGGTGAGGGTGGTGCGGTGTTGGTGTGTGTGTGGTGATGGTGAGGGTGGTGCGGTGTTGGTGTGTGTGTGTGTGGTGATGGTGAGGGTGGTGCGGTGTTGGTGTGTGTGGTGATGGTGAGGGTGGTGCGGTGTTGGTGTGTGTGGTGATGGTGAGGGTGGTGCTGTGTTGGTGTGTGTGGTGATGGTGAGGGTGGTGCTGTGTTGGTGTGTGTGTGTGGTGAGGGTGGTGCGGTGTTGGTGTGTGTGTGTGGTGATGGTGAGGGTGGTGCGGTGTTGGTGTGTGTGGTGATGGTGAGGGTGGTGCGGTGTTGATGTGTGTGTGGTGATGGTGAGGGTGGTGCGGTGTTGATGTGTGTGTGGTGATGGTGAGGGTGGTGCGGTGTTGATGTGTGTGTGTGTGGTGATGGTGAGGGTGGTGCTGCTGTGAGAGCGAGCTTGATGCGGTTATGGTTCTCAAATCTGTGGTTGACGTGCGGTTGTGGTGCGTGTCTGTGGTTCAGATTTCCCCGGCGACGCACAACCAGGCGGTGATCCTGCAGAGTGCACTGCACCACATCCCCAACCCGGGTGCGGAGTGCATGCTGCGTAATGTTGCCATGCGCCTGGGACAGCAGATCACGGACGAGGTGACCCGCAGCACAACAACACGGAAACACCGCAACACCGTAACACAGAGCAACAATAACACAGCAACAACCGCACAGCACGTGGTAACAAACAGCAACACACACCAGCAAAGACAAAGATCCCCCGTATAGCCTTGACAGACTGTAGGGGCAAGTGTTGTTGGTGAGTAGTAGGACCTATGAAAGCCGGCACAGTACACGAGGGGGTGGGTGGCCAGCACCACGCACGCCCGGCCGCCTTTTTCTCGCCAGTGGCGATGTTCACTACATGCCGCACCAGGTACTTATTTGAGACCGAGTCGACCTAGGGGAGGCCCAAGACCAGCTCAGATAATCATCGCTTGTGTTGACCGTAAGCGGGATTCGAACTCGGGTTGCCGTGTTCGTAGCGCAACGCGCTAACCACTACACTACCGCTCCCCACGTGCACGTATGCACACAAAGGCGCGTACATGCAGACGTACACATGCACACACACGCACCCACAGACGCGTACCCACACGTGTGTATGACCGTGGTGTGACCTCGTGCACAGGCGAGTAAGACCATACCCGACTGTTGTGTACCGCGTGTGTGTACTGCGTATGTGTACCGTGTGTGTGTACCGTGCGTGAACCATGTGTGCATGTACCGCTGCGTGCACAGGCGAGTAAGAACATACCCGACATCTCGGTGACCCGCGTACACACACATGTACACATACACATATACATGTACACATACACACACACATGTACACACACACACACATGTACACATACACACGCGTACACGTACACACAAGTACGCATACACGTGTACACAACAACAACCGCCATTAGCCACCAAGTGGCGGTGACGTCACCACGTACACATAAACATACACGTCCATGTACACACACACGTACACACACAAGCGTACACACTAACACACGTGTGTGCGTGTACGCCGGTGGTGTGACCCCGCGTGCACAGGCGAGTAAGAACATCCCCGACATCTCGGTGATCCGCGAGATCCAGAAGATCTGCTGGGCGGCAGGGTGCGGCTGCGTGCACCTCGTCTTCTCCAGCAGCGACGAGATCTGCAAGATCTACGAGAAGGTGGTGAATGTGGGGGGGGTGAGGGGTGGGGGCACGCGGGGGATGCAGATTAAACACGAGCTGACTGACGACTCGCGCTGTGGAGTCACTCGATAAAGAGATCCACGTGGCTCGCCCCGCGTGACGCTCCCCGTGACTCGCCCCGTGACTCGCCCCGTGACTCGCCCCGTGACTCGCCCCGTGACTCGCCCCGTGACTCGCCCCGTGACTCGCCCCGTGACTCGCCCCGTGACTCGCCCCGTGACTCGCCCCGTGACTCGCCCCGTGACTCGCCCCGTGACTCGCCCCGTGACTCGCCCCGTGACCCGCCCCGTGACTCGCCCCGTGACTCGCCCCGTGACTCGCCCCGTGACTCGCCCCGTGACTCGCCCCGTGACTCGCCCCGTGACTCGCCCCGTGACTCGCCCCGCTACCCAACAGAACAACGCTGGCAAGGAGCCGGACGCGGAGGATGAGCAGGTGTGCCGCGAGGCACTGGAGGTGATCACGCTCTGCCTGGCGCTCGTGCCCTCCGGCTCGGACGTCCTCAGCAAAGAGCGCGCCTGGCAGACCTTCATCATCGACCTGCTGCTGCACTGCCAGAGCCGGTAACGGTGGGGGGTGGCGGATGGTACCGCTCGTGCCAGGCTAGGTGCACCTCGAGACCATCGGGTCAAGTGTTGGAGGTTTTGTCGCTGCTGCTGCTGGCAGGAGATCACGGGACAGGCCCAGCAGATGCCATGGGTTGGATGACTGAGATGACCGGGAGATGCACCACCTGTGCCCCCTACTGCGCCAACTCACTGTGTTTTAGCTACCCGGCGCTCTGCTTGTTGTTGTGAGCGTCGCTCCTCTGCCCTCCGTTGCTGGAGGGCGACTGTCCAGCAGCATTACAGTGCGAGGAGCTCACAGGATCTGAGCTCCTCGCACTGTAATGCAGCCTGGTTAAACCCAGAATCGATCGTCGTCATGCCAGCCTCAATTCTTCAAACCTGCGCAGATGTTCCTCTGATACAAGGCTCCACATTTCGCAAGAATAGAAATAGGGAGGGAATGACTGTGCCCGAGAAGACTCGAAGCTTCATGTGGAGCGACAGACCAAGAAGCATCCACGCACCAACGTTACACGGCTGCTGAAAAGATAATGCCGCTCGGCTGATTCAGAGTGAGACCTGTGTGTGTGCGTGTGTATGGGGAGTGGTGGCACAATAGTTGGCACTCTAACCACTGCGAACCCGGCAATCTGAGTTCGGTTCCCGCTCTCGACCAATAACAGCGGCAAAGATTTGAACCGGTCCTAGTCCTTCCCGAAGTCGACAGCCTTCTAATGAGTACGTGGTGCAGCGTGTAAATACCGCCGCTCGGGATACCAAGGCGGCACGGGCGTGGTGCTGGCCACCCACCCCTTCGTGTGCCGAGCCGGCCTTCATAGGTGCTCGTTCATCGAACTTGCTCCTACAGTGTATTGAGGCTTATGGGGGATCTTTGTCTTTGCAGAGCGGTGGCACAGTGGTTAGCACACTGCGCTGCGAACCCAGCCACCCGAGTTCGATACCCGCTCACAACCAAAACAGTGGGGAATATCTGAACCTGGTCGTGGGCCTTCCCTCGGTCGACTTTGGGCCTCAACGGTGTACCTGGCGCGGTGTGTAGGAAAGACAGTACCGACGGAGAGACAATGGCGGCCGGGCGTGCACAGTGCCGCACTTACCCCAACAGTCTGTTAAGGCTACACGGGGGACCTTTGTCTCTGTGCCCATCTCTGTGTGTGGCCTTCATAGGCACTGCTGCTACTCGTTAATAGCCAGCACTTGCCCCGGTAGTTGTGTGAAGGCTACACGGGGGACCTTTGTCTTTGTCAGGCCGATCAGGCAGACTGCTCAGGAGCAGTTCTTCCTGATGGCGACCAAGTGCTGCATGGGAAACCGGCCGATCATCTTCTTCATCACTCTGCTCTTCACAGTGCTGGGGGTGAGCGCGCACACACACTCACAGGTACATACGTGGGTACACACACACACGCGGGTACACACACACACGCGGGTACACACACACACACGGGTACACACACACACACGCGGGTACACACACACGCGGGTACACACACACGCGGGTACACACACACGCGGGTACACACACACGCGGGTACACACACACGCGGGTACACACACGCACACAGTGCGGCAACTACTTCACGCTGCTCCCTGTGTTATTGCCGTGTGTGTGTTCGTGTCTGTGTGTATTAATGCGGTGTGTGTGTGTCTGTGTGTCTTTTTTTAATGCTGTGTGTGTCTGTGTGTGCATTAGACGACGGTGCGTGAGTGCGCGCGTCAATGCGGCGACTACTTCACGCTGCTGTGCCGGCTGCTCAACTATGCGTCGATCAGCAGCATCGCCGTGCAGAACGCAGAGGTGCAGCTCAACAATGAGATCGAGTGGCTCAAGCGCATCCGGGTACGTGATGGTGGTGATAGCGACGGTGGCATTGGTGGTGGTGATGGTGATGGCGGTGATGATGGTGATGGCGGTGATGATGTTGATGGTGCAGGACCAGGTGAAGCTGACGGGTGAGACGGGCGTGGAGGAGCAGCTGCTGGAAGGCCACCTGGGCGTGTCGCGTGAGTTGCTCGCGTTCCAGACGCCCGACAAGAAGTTCCACATCGGCTCTGAAAAGGGGGGAGCCAACCTGATCAAGGTGAGGGGGGGCCGCGCCGCACCGTACACGCAGCACGGCACGCACGGCGCACACCCCACGGCACACGCTGACCCACGCGCACGGCACGCACCGCGCTTTACTCACCGTACACACCGCACGGGGTATGCACGAGTCTGTTAAAGGCTACACGGGGGAACTTTGCCTTTGTGCGTGCGGCAGGAGCTGATGGACGACTTTATCCTGCCGGCGTCGCGAGTCTTCCTGCACCACCAGCGCAGCGGCGAGCTCCCTGCGGCCCAGGCCATCCCGGTGTGCGGCTCGGCCTCGTCGCTCACCGCAGCCTTTGACCTGCTGGCAGCCCTGTCGGTCGGCTGTGCCGCCAACCTGCGTCTAACCGCCGACACGCTCACCGAGATGTACTACACCGGTGAGCGGTCGCTCGCTCACTCACCACGCTCACCACCACCACGTTCACTCCCGACACGCTCACCGAGATGTACTACACCGGTGAGCGGTCGCTCACTCACCACCACGCTCGCCACCACCACGCTCACCACCACGTTCACTCCCGACACGCTCACTCACCACGCTCACCACCACCACTCTCACCACCACCACGCTCACCACCACGTTTACTCCCGACACGCTCACCGAGATGTACTACACCGGTGAGCGGTCGCTCACTCACTCACCACCACTCTCACCACCACCACGCTCACCACCACCACGCTCACCACCACCACGCTCACCACCACCACGCTCACCACCACCACGCTCACCACCACGTTCACTCCCGACACGCTCACTCACCACGCTCACCACCACCACGCTCACCACCACGTTCACTCCCGACACGCTCACCACCACCACGCTCACCACCACGCTCACCACCACGTTCACTCCCGACACGCTCACCACCACCACGCTCACCACCACCACTCTCACCACCACCACGCTCACCACCACCACGTTCACTCCCGACACGCTCACTCACCACGCTCACCACCACCACTCTCACCACCACCACGCTCACCACCACGTTCACTCCCGACACGCTCACTCACCACGCTCACCACCACCACGCTCACCACCACCACGCTCACCACCACCACTCTCACCACCACCACGCTCACCACCACGTTCACTCCCGACACGCTCACTCACCACGCTCACCACCACCACGCTCACCACCACCACGCTCGCCACCACCACGCTCACCACCACCACGCTCACCACCACGTTCACTCCCGACACGCTCACCACCACCACGCTCACTCACCACGCTCACCACCACCACTCTCACCACCACCACGCTCACCATCACGTTCACTCCCGACACGCTCACTCACCACGCTCACCACCACCACGCTCACCACCACCACTCTCACCACCACGTTCACTCCCGACACGCTCGCCACCACCACTCTCACCACCACCACGCTCACCACCACCACGCTCACCACCACCACGCTCACCACCACGTTCACTCCCGACACACTCACTCACCACGCTCACCACCACCACCACGCTCACCACCACCACCACTCTCACCACCACCACTCTCACCACCCTCTCGGTGAGCTGCGCCGCCAACCTGTGCCTCACCTCCTTGTACCCTCCCAACCCCCCCGGCAGGCACGGAGCCCCTGACGGAGTGGGAGTACCTCCCCCCCGTGGGGCCGCGTCCCCCCAAGGGCTTCGTGGGGCTTAAGAACGCCGGCGCCACCTGCTACATGAACTCCGTGATCCAGCAGCTCTACATGATCCCCGCTGTGCGCCTCGGACTGCTGGCCGTCAGCACCGCTGGGGCCTCGGCCGGCACCGGCACAGCCGGCAACGCCGCCAGCGACAACGACGAGGAGCTGTCGGGGGATGAGCGCGCTGACGCGGAGGTGGGCGCGTGCCGGCCGAATGCTCGCAGACGCGCCCCTAATATACACACACCCATGACCCCAACACGCGCACACACGACCACAACACACACACACGACCCCAACACACACACACATGACCCCAACACACACACACATGACCCCAACACGCAAACACACGACCCCAACACACACACACATGACCCCAACACACACACACATGACCCCAACACGCGCACACACGACCACAACACACACACACGACCCCAACACATACACACGACCCCAACACACACGACCCCAACACGCGCACACACGCCCACAACACACACGACCCCAACACACGTGCGACCCCAACACACAAACATACGACCCAAACACTCGCGCACACGACCCCAACACACACACATACGACCCCAACACACACACATACGACCCCAACACGCGCGCGATCCCAACACACACACACACGACCCCAACTCGTACACACACGACCCCAACACGCGCACACACGACCCCTACACACGTGCGATCCCAACACACACACACACGACCCCAACTCGTACACACACGACCCCAACTCGTACACACACGACCCCAACACACAGACACACGACCCCAACACGCAGACACACGACCCCTCTTCCGTCGTTGTTAGCTTTTCCTCTCTTTCCGCTTCCTTCCATTTTTCTCGAACAACAACACACTTTAATTTTTCCCGTCATTGTTCATCCTCCTGCACAGGTATCCAAATAGTGGTGCCAGTTTCCTTCTCATCCACTGCCTGCATCATCAGGTTGTCATCTTCTCTGTGCTACCTTGTCCTTGCTTCTACCAAATGGGGCATGGGGAGAAGACTTACAACTATAAACTAAACTTGAACAATTTTGATTAAAAGCTTTCGTGACTGCAGGGATTCATATTCTTGGTTCTTTCAGTAAAGTCACGAAGAAGGGAAACAATACAATAATTAAAATATAAAACAATAAAATTCTCACGACGTTTCGACTGCAACACAAGCAATCATCATCAGGTGTGAAAACCACAGCATATTTTTTTTATTGTTTCCCTTCTACGTGACTTTACCGAAAGAACCAAGAATATAAACTTGAACACTTAAACCATTTACATTTTTCCAGGTGTAAGGCCTATGTGCTCTTTTTCAGAAGCGACCTGGCTAATCCACACGAAGTGGCTTGTCATCATCACCTTGTGGAAATGTACAGCAGCAGCCAAATATTCTAAATGCGTCACGTTCATTCTCAATGTGGAGGGAAAAATCGGAGGACCCTGGAGAAAAAAATCCACACGACCACCACGGGGGGAGAGAGAGAGAGAGACGCAAGCTCCAAATATACAGCAGCAGAAGCAGGCATTGTCAGGGTCTGGCATCAAACCTGCAACCTTCTGCATCCCCGGCTAGGTAGCTCAAATCTCCTCGCCACCGCGGCACCCCACGTTGGCCACGTGGCAGGGTGTGGCGGGTGTGGTCGTCCCGTTTACCGTCAAATCTCAGAACACGCAAAGCGGTTCGGCGTGAATTTTATTAACGAGGTAGTTGACGTGGTCGCGGTAGTTGACGTGGTCGCGGTAGTTGACGTGGTCGCGGTACTTGACGTGGTCGAGGTAGTTGACGTGGTCGAGGTAGTTGACGTGGTCGCGGTAGTTGACGTGGTCGCGGTAGTTGACGTGGTCGAGGTACTCGACGTGGTCGAGGTACTCGACGTGGTCGAGGTACTCGACGTGGTCGCGGTACTCGACGTGGTCGAGGTACTTGACGTGGTCGAGGTAGTTGACGTGGTCGCGGTAGTTGACGTGGTCGCGGTAGTTGACGTGGTCGAGGTACTTGACGTGGTCGAGGTAGTTGACGTGGTCGCGGTAGTCGACGTGGTGGAGGTACTCGACGTGGTCGCGGTACTCGACGTGGTCGAGGTACTCGACGTGGTCGAGGTAGTTGACGTGGTCGAGGTAGTTGACGTGGTCGCGGTAGTTGACGTGGTCGAGGTAGTTGACGTGGTCGAGGTAGTTGACGTGGTCGAGGTAGTTGACGTGGTCGAGGTAGTTGACGTGGTCGAGGTAGTTGACGTGGTCGAGGTAGTTGACGTGGTCGCGGTAGTTGACGTGGTCGAGGTACTTGACGTGGTCGCGGTAGTTGACGTGGTCGCGGTAGTTGACGTGGTCGAGGTAGTTGACGTGGTCGAGGTAGTTGACGTGGTCGCGGTAGTTGACATGGTCGCGGTACTTGACGTGGTCGCGGTAGTTGACGTGGTCGAGGTAGTTGACGTGGTCGAGGTAGTTGACGTGGTCGCGGTACTTGACGTGGTCGAGGTAGTTGACGTGGTCGAGGTAGTTGACGTGGTCGCGGTAGTTGACGTGGTCGCGGTAGTTGACGTGGTCGCGGTAGTTGACGTGGTCGAGGTAGTTGACGTGGTCGAGGTAGTTGACGTGGTCGAGGTACTTGACGTGGTCGAGGTAGTTGACGTGGTCGCGGTAGTTGACGTGGTCGCGGTAGTTGACGTGGTCGCGGTAGTTGACGTGGTCGAGGTAGTTGACGTGGTCGCGGTAGTTGACGTGGTCGCGGTACTTGACGTGGTCGAGGTAGTTGACGTGGTCGAGGTAGTTGACGTGGTCGCGGTAGTTGACGTGGTCGCGGTAGTTGACGTGGTCGCGGTAGTTGACGTGGTCGCGGTAGTTGACGTGGTCGCGGTAGTTGACGTGGTCGCGGTAGTTGACGTGGTCGAGGTACTTGACGTGGTCGAGGTAGTCGACGTGGTCGCGGTAGTCGACGTGGTCGAGGTACTCGACGTGGTCGAGGTACTCGACGTGGTCGCGGTACTCGACGTGGTCGCGGTACTCGACGTGGTCGCGGTACTCGACGTGGTCGAGGTACTCGACGTGGTCGAGGTAGTTGACGTGGTCGAGGTAGTTGACGTGGTCGCGGTAGTTGACGTGGTCGCGGTAGTTGACGTGGTCGAGGTAGTTGACGTGGTCGAGGTAGTTGACGTGGTCGAGGTAGTTGACGTGGTCGAGGTAGTTGACGTGGTCGAGGTACTTGACGTGGTCGCGGTAGTTGACGTGGTCGAGGTAGTTGACGTGGTCGAGGTAGTTGACGTGGTCGAGGTAGTTGACGTGGTCGAGGTAGTTGACGTGGTCGAGGTACTTGACGTGGTCGCGGTACTTGACGTGGTCGAGGTAGTTGACGTGGTCGCGGTAGTTGACGTGGTCGAGGTAGTTGACGTGGTCGAGGTAGTTGACGTGGTCGAGGTAGTTGACGTGGTCGAGGTAGTTGACGTGGTCGCGGTAGTTGACGTGGTCGAGGTAGTTGACGTGGTCGAGGTAGTTGACGTGGTCGCGGTAGTTGACGTGGTCGAGGTAGTTGACGTGGTCGAGGTAGTTGACGTGGTCGAGGTAGTTGACGTGGTCGCGGTAGTTGACGTGGTCGAGGTAGTTGACGTGGTCGAGGTAGTTGACGTGGTCGCGGTAGTTGACGTGGTCGCGGTAGTTGACGTGGTCGAGGTAGTTGACGTGGTCGAGGTAGTTGACGTGGTCGCGGTAGTTGACGTGGTCGAGGTAGTTGACGTGGTCGAGGTAGTTGACGTGGTCGAGGTAGTTGACGTGGTCGCGGTAGTTGACGTGGTCGCGGTAGTTGACGTGGTCGCGGTAGTTGACGTGGTCGCGGTAGTTGACGTGGTCGAGGTAGTTGACGTGGTCGCGGTAGTTGACGTGGTCGAGGTAGTTAACGTGTTCTTTGGTTCTTTCGGTAAAGTCACGTAGAATGAGAATAAAATAATAAATTGATGAAGGCCGCTTGTGTTGTGGCCGAAACGTCGTGAGAATTTTATTGTGTTATTTTATTATTTTATTCTCATTCTACGTGACTTTACCGAAAGAACCAAAGAAGATGAATCCTTGCAGTCACGAAAGCTTTAAATCGAAATGTAGTTGACGTGGTCGAGGTAGTTGACGTGGTCAAGGGAGTTAACATCTCCTCGCCACCGTGGCGCCCCGACTGATTCTTATCCCGTGCTCCTACTGCTCATCGTATTCCTCCTGCAGTATAAATGCCGATTCTGATCCATCCCGTGGCCACCCCGTGCCCCCACCCTCCCAGAGTAACGTGGATGCTCGCGAGGAGACGCCGTTTGCGGGGGGCTCCGGCGGCGGCGGCGGCGGTGGAGGCGGCGGCGGTGGCGGAGGGGGGGGCGGTGTGGGGGGTGAGGAGCGCCCCCCGTCCGGGGCCCGCACCGGCGAGCGTAAGGAGTACAACATGGGGGTGCTGCGCCAGCTCCAGGTGATCTTCGGGCACCTGGCCGCCTCCAAGCTGCAGTACTACGTCCCCCGCGGGTTCTGGAGGCAGTTCCGGTGAGGCTCGCTCGCTCGCTCGTCCGTCCGGCCGTCCGTACGCGCACTCGCTAATCCGCTCGCTCACACGCTCACACACTCACCCACCCGCTCACACGCTCACCCACCCGCTCACACGCTCACACGCTCACCCATCCGCTCACACGCTCACCCACCCGCTCACACTCACCCACACGCTCACACTCACCCACACGCTCACCCACCCGCTCACACGCTCACTCACCCGCTCACACGCTCACTCACCCGCTCACACGCTCACCCACCCGCTCACACGCTCACCCACCCACTCACACGCTCACCCACCCGCTCACACGCTCGCCCACCCGCTCACACGCTCGCCCACCCGCTCACACACTCGCCCACACGCTCACCCACCCGCTCACACGCTCACCCACACACTCACCCACCCGCTCACATGCTCACCCACCCGCTCATACTCACGCTCACCCACCTGCTCACACACTCGCCCACCCGCTCATCTACACACACTCACTCACCCATACACACATTCGTCCACACACTCATACACTCATCTTCTCGTTGTCCTTCCCCCGCACCTCCTATCAACACGGTTGGCTATGTACATAACATGAGTGGGTCTCTCTGGAGCTGTGTTGGATTCTGTGGGTCTCTATGGTTCTTTACGAGTCTCTGGATCTCTGTTGATCTCTATGGGTCTCTTCCTTCCGATATTAAGAAGTTGAACAAACATCCATTCATTCAATCCCTCTCCCCGCACCCCGCCAGGCTGTGGGGAGAGCCGGTGAACCTGCGTGAGCAGCACGACGCCCTGGAGTTCTTCAACTCGCTGGTGGATAGCCTGGACGAGGCGCTCAAGGCCCTGGGGCACCCCCCGCTGCTCAGCAAGGTGCTGGGCGGCTCCTTCGCAGACCAGAAGATCTGCAAGGGATGCCCACACCGGTGAGCCCTAACGCCTGTGCCAATCCCCCCCCCCCCTCCACCGTCACCACTCCCCCGCACTGCTCCACTCTGCTCCACTTTCCTCCCCACTGCTCCCCACTGCTCCACTCTGCTCCACTCTACTCCCTCACTGCTCCACTCTGCTTCCACTGCTCCCCACTGCTCCACTCTGCTCCACTCTGCTCTCCACTGCTCCACTCTACTCCCCACTGCTCCACTCTGCTCCACTCTGCTCCCCACTGCTCCCCACTGCTCCCCACTGCTCCTCTCTGCTCCACTCTACTCCACTCTGCTCCACTCTGCTCCCCACTGCTCCCCACTGCTCCCCACTGCTCCCCACTGCTCCACTCTGCTCCCCACTGCTCCCCACTGCTCCCCACTGCTCCCCACTGCTCCACTCTGCTCCACTCTGCTCCCCACTGCTCCCCACTGCTCCACTCTGCTCCACTCTGCTCCACTCTGCTCCACTTTCCTCCCCGCTGCTCCACTCTGCTCCACTCTGCTCCCCACTGCTACACCCCCCTTCCCACTGCTCCAGTCTCCTCCCCACTGCTACACCCCCCTTCCCACCCACCTCACCCACCTCCCCACCACCACCGCCACCCACCTTCCCAATCGGCTCTCCCTCCGCTGCCTGCTGGCGATGGTGGCGCACCTAGCCTGGCACAAGCGGCTTTGATGTTGCCACCATAGTGGCGGTGGTGATGATAGTGGTTTCTGGTGGTGATGATGCTGGCGATAAGTCGTGGCTTCGGCTGCTTCGTCGGCAGTTGGACGGGCGCGTGCTCCTTCACCGCCCTGCAGTATTAAGCACGGCCTCCTCGCGCCTTCGAACCTCCTTGTACTCTCGCGGCCTCGTACCCGGTGTGACGAACGGTGCGTGTCGTGTCGGTGGCCCCAGGTACCAGCGCGAGGAGTCCTTCACGACGCTGAACATCGACATCAGGAACCACCAGCACCTACTGGAGTCGCTGGAGCAGTACGTCAAGGGGGACCTGCTGGAGGGAGCCAACGCCTACCACTGCGAGAAGTGCAACAAGAAGGCACGGACGGGCGGGCGGGCGGGTGGGCAGACTCTGGCAAGCAGATGCGGGCAGCAGACGTAGCCGGGCATACATAACATACACATGCATGCGTGCATGGGCTAACCGTTGCTCACCGCTAATAATGATGATGATCAGACAGGTGCTTCACACATGTAGGAGACACTCCCTCACACACACACACACACGGATGCACGCGCACGCATTCACACGCACGGACACAGGCGCACGGACGGAAACACTCTGCCTCGTCGCGTGTCTGCATTTTTGTTTTCTTTGAGTTGCACCTCAAGGCCTGGGGAAGGACCCTCTGACCGGACTAAGACAACGTTGTGTCCCCCTGTGCCTGTGTCTCGCCGTGTCCCCGTGTCCTCCTGCTCTGCCTCCCCCACCCACCCCTGCTTCTCTTCCCGTATCCTCCCCACGTCTCCCATCGCTTCTCTCCCATCTCCCCCTGCTTTAGCCGTCTTGTTTGTTGGTGTAACATTCTGTGACCCCCTGTACTGGACATGTGTGAAAAAGAGCTTTATAGCGCATCAAATTCCTCCTCCCGGTATAAATATTCTGATTCTCTCCCGCCGCCCCCACCGACCCCTCCCCCAGGTGGACACGGTGAAGCGGCTGTGCATCAAGAAGCTGCCGCCGGTGCTGGCCATCCAGCTGAAGCGCTTCGACTACGACTGGGAGCGAGAGTGCGCCATCAAGTTCAACGACTACTTCGAGTTCCCGCGGGACTTCGACATGGAGCCCTACACGGTGGCGGGGCTGGCGCGCGTCGACGGCGAGGAGATCCAGCCCGACCGCGAGAGCCCCACCCCGCCCCCGCTGGTGCCAGCGGCCGGCACCGCCGCGGCCGCGCCGGCGTCGTCGCCGCCCTCGGAACTCGCTGCACCGCCCGCCCCCGCCGTTTCCGCTTCCCAGCAGCAGCAGCAGCAGGGAGGCGCCGGCAACGGTGGCATCAGCAGCCGCTACCGGCTGGTGGGCGTGCTGGTGCACAGCGGGCAGGCCAGCGGCGGGCACTACTACTCGTACATCATGCAGCGCGACGGCGGCGGCGGCGGCGCCGGCGCCGGCGGCGGCGGGGCCCCGAGCGGCGCCAACCGCTGGTACAAGTTTGACGACGGCGAGGTGACGGAGTGCAAGATGGACGACGACGAGGAGATGAAGAACCAGTGCTTCGGCGGGGAGTACATGGGCGAGGTGTTCGACCACATGATGAAGCGCATGTCCTTCCGGCGCCAGAAGCGCTGGTGGAACGCCTACATCCTCTTCTACGAGCGCGCCGACGTGACGCACGGGGGGGCCGGCGCCGGCGGCGGAAGCGCCGGCAGCAGCGGGGACTCGGAGCTGGCACGGTTGCTGGCCGGCATGGCGGTGGGGTGGCGCCAGCAGCAGCACCAGCAGGCGGTGGCGATGCCGGCGGCGATCGAGCGAGCGGTGCGCAAGCAGAACGTGCAGTTCCTGCACAACCGCATGCAGTACAGCCCCGAGTTCTTCCACTTCATGAAGAAGCTGCTCACCTGCAACAGTCTCTACCTGAGCCTACCGCCCGGTACGGCACGCACGCGCGCACGCACACAAGCACACACGTGTGTACACGCATGCATGCGGACGCACACACACACACGTATGCGGACGCACACACACGCACGTATGCGGACGCACACACGCACACACTGGCGTGTACACGCACACGTACATGCACGCACGTACGTACACAACGCGCTCACGCACACACAGACAAGGATCCCCGTGTAGCCTTAACAGACTGTTGGGGCAAGTGCTGTTCGCGAGTAGGCCAGCACCACACCCGACCGCCTTTGTCTCCCCAGTGGTGATGCTTACACACTGGACCAGGTACTTATTTGAGGCTGTGTTGACCTAGTGGAAGTCAAAATACTGGGTTCAGATAATCGTCACTTGGCGTTGGAGGCCCAGGACCTGTTGAGATAGTCGTCACTGGTGCTCGCCGTTAGCCGGAATCGAACTCGGGTCACCGGGTTCATAGCCCAGCGCGCTAACAGTGACACAACCGCTCCCCGTACACACATGTGCGCACAGACAATGATACGCACACACACGAGTGGGTGGGCGTGTCTGGGGTGTGTGGTGGATGTGTGTGATGCTTGTCTGATGCATGATGCATGTGGTGGTTGTGGTTTGTTGGTATTGTGTTGGCTGTGGTTGTGTTTGTTGAGGATGGTGATATTGTGGCAATGGTGGTGGTTGTGGTTGGTGATATTGTGGCAATGGTGGTGGTTTTGGTTAGTGATATTGTGGCAATGGTGGTGGTTGTGGTTGGTGATATTGTGGCAATCGTGGTGGTTGTGGTTGGTGATATTATGGCTATGGTATTGGTGGTGGTTGTGGTTGGTGATATTGTGGTGCTGGTGGTTGTGGTTGGTGATATTGTGGTTGGTGATATTGTGGCTATGGGTGGTGACGGTTGTGGTTGGTGATATTGTGGTGATGGTTGTGGTTGGTGATATTGTGGCTGTTGTGGTGGTGATTGTGGTGGTGATATTGTGGTGCTGGTGGTTGGTGATATTTTGGCTATGGTGGTGGTTGGTGGCGGTTGTGGTTGGTGTGGTTGTGGTTGGTGATGTGGTGCTGGTGGTTGTGGTTGGTGATATTGTGGCTATGGGTGGTGGCGGTTGTGGTTGGTGATATTGTGATGGTTGTGGTTGGTGATATTGTGGCTATTGTGGTGGTGATTGTGGTTGGTGATATTGTGGTGCTGGTGGTTGGTGATATTTTGGCTATGGTGGTGGTTGGTGGCGGTTGTGGTTGGAGTGGTTGTGGTTGGTGATGTTGTGGTTGGTGGTTGGTGGTTGTGGTTGGTGGTTGTGGTTGGTGATGTTGTGGTTGGTGGTTGTGGTTGGTGATGTTGTGGTTGGTGGTTGTGGTTGGTGATGTTGTGGCTGTGGTGGCGGTTGTGGTTGATGATATTGTGGTGGCGGTGGCTGCTGTCGTTGTGTAGGCCAGGAGCAGCTGGTCCCCGTGGCGGAGGAGCTGGCGATGATCAGCGTGCAGCTTGCGGCACGCTTCCTTTTCACCACCGCCTTCCACACCAAGAAGGCCGTGCGCGGCCAGGCCAGCGAGTGGTAACCACAACTGCACCGCAACCGCGACCGTTCACGTAACCACAAGCACACTGCAACCATACCGCAACCCTTCACGTAACCACAACCATACCACAACCGCCATCCGCATTCACTTAACCACCAGCGCACCACAACCGCCACCACCACCACGGCAACCGCCGCCCGCGTTAACGTACGTGTCTCCCCACACATCTCCCTCACCCCACCCCATCTCCCTACACTTCCCCTCGTCTCCCCACATCTCTCCCCGTGTCTCCTCCTCGCACCTCTCGCCGCGCCTCCTCGCGTATCTCTCGGTGCATCTCTCACCTCTCATCTCTCTCTCTCCCCGCCAATCTCTCCCGCCCCCCGCCGTGGCTGCGCCTCCAGGTACGACGCCCTGTGCCTGCTGCTGAGGCATAGCCGAGCGAGCCGCCACTGGTTCGCCCACCACGCCCTCTTCCAGCAGCCCGGCCGCTTCTCCGAGTACCTCCTCGAGTGCCCCAGCACGGAGGTCCGCAGCGCCTTCGCCAAGCTGCTCGTCTTCCTCGCCCACTTCTCCCTCGCCGACGGGCCCTGCCCGGCGCCGGCGCCTCCTCCGCCTCCTCCGCCGCCTCCTCCTCCGCCTCCCCCGGCGGTGGCGCCGGCGGCGGCGCCGACCCCGCCGCTCGTCGTCGCGGCCTCCTCCGCCGTGGCCGCGACGGCCGCGGCCACGGCGGCGGCGGCGGCGGCGCAGGGTGGAGCGGCCACCAACCAGGTGGGGAGACGTGCGCTCGTGCGTGTGTGTACACGAGTGTGTGCACGTGAGTGCGTACGTGCGTGAGTGTGTGTGTGTACGTGAGTGCGTATGTACGTGAGTGCGCGTGTGCGTACGTGAGTGAGTGATCCGATCTCCGACCCCCAGGAAGAGGTTTGCAGATTTGCTGAGCAATTTCTGTGAGGTCTTGGGGGAGGTGAAATTCCTCAGCCTAGAAAACACCGTGGGGCAACGTGGGGATGACCCTGCTGAGGCTGCCGTGCCTCAATTATTGGATGTAGTCACCCCTCGTGAGTGGCTGGCTGAGGTGCCGTCTTTTGAGGAAGTACGGAAGGCAATCCAGAGTCTTGAGGCCAGGAAAAGCACTGGTCAGAGATGATCTCCCAAGAAAACTTCTGAGGGAGGGTGGCGTTTCTTTTGCAGACTGGCCTATAAGACATCATTATTACTGTCTGGATCACTGGATGGATTCCGCAAGATTGGAAGGATGCCCTGGTGGTTCCCCCTATTTAAAAAGGGGGAGCACACAGACTGTAACAACTACACGGGCATCTCCTTCCTAACTCAGTGTGCCAGGAAAGGTCCTGGCAAGGATTATTCAACATCGCCTTGCCAGGCTCGCTGAGGAGAGGCTTGCGGAGCCCCAAAGTGTTTTCAGGTCACGGCGGTCCTGCACAGATGCCGTGTTTTCTATCCGTCTGCTACAGCAGAGGTGAAAGGAATTCCAACAAGACCTACATCTCTGCTTTATTGACCTGGTCAAGGCCTATGATACCAAGAGTAGGCCTGGGCTCTGGGTTGTACTTCATGCTTTCGGAGTCCCTGACTCTCTGCTCACACTCATTAAGGACCTTTGTGATGGTGAGCAGGCCTGGGTAAAGCCACGTGGCCAGGAGTCGGAGCCATTCCCTGTTCACATTGGGGTGTGACAGGGATGTCTTCTCGCTCCCACATTATTTAACATCTTTTTCGACCACGTTCGAGAAGTGTTCCATGGCTGTACTGGAGGAATTTCTATATGGTACAGATACAATGGGAGACTGATTGATGTGCGGGTGTGGTCGAAGGATGGCTTCCTATTGATCAACCATGTTATATATGCCGATGATCTGGTGATTGCTGCTCACTGAGGAGTTGGAAGCGCTGCTGCTGAACCTGGAGCTTGCCACCAAGAGGTGGGGCCTTACCATCAGCCCCACCAAAACTAAGCACCTGCTTGGGTATTTTGTACCATCGGACACTCCACGTCTACAACTCCCAATTGGTCATGGGGCAGTTGCGGAGAGAGTGGAGAGTTTCCATACCTGCGCGGTGTGCGTATGACCAACTCCGGTTTGACAGCAGAGGGCTCACTCCCAATCAGTCAATCGACATTATCTTTTCATCGGCCGCGTAATGCTGTGTAGGCAGCACAGGTGGTGCATCGGCCAATAATCTCAGCCGTCAACCCACGGCACCTGCAGGGTTTGTCCAGTGACCTGCAAGCAGAGAACATTTAACACCTCAAACGGCCTCGGAGTGCACCTGGCCTGGCACAGCCACCGTGGTGACGTCACTGCCACTTAGTGGGGAACGGCGGTGGCTGTTGTTGTTGCCCGGTGTCTACTGGCGGGGGGGTAAGGGTTGGGGCAGCAGGGCCGACTACACTCACCACCGTCTCGCTCGCCACCGTCTCGCTCGCCACCATCTCGCTCACCACCGTCACGCTCGCCACCGTCTCGCTCACCACCATCTCGCTCACCACCGTCTCACTCACCACCGTCTCACTCACCACCGTCTCACTCACCACCGTCACGCTCGCCACCGTCACGCTCACCACCGTCTCACTCACCACCGTCTCACTCACCACCGTCACGCTCGCCACCGTCACGCTCACCACCGTCTCACTCACCACCGTCACGCTCGCCACCGTCACGCTCACCACCGTCTCACTCACCACCGTCTCACTCACCACCGTCTCACTCACCACCGTCTCACTCACCACCGTCTCACTCACCACCGTCTCACTCACCACCGTCTCACTCACCACCGTCACGCTCGCCACCGTCACGCTCACCACCATCTCGCTCACCACCGTCACGCTCACCACCGTCTCACTCACCACTGTCTCGCTCGCCACCGTCTCGCTCACCACCGTCTCGCTCACCACCGTCACGCTCACCACCGTCTCACTCACCACCGTCTCACTCACCACCGTCTCACTCACCACTGTCTCGCTCGCCACCGTCTCGCTCACCACCGTCTCGCTCGCCACCGTCTCACCACCGTCTCACTCACCACCGTCTCGCTCACCACTGCCACCCCCCTCCCAACCCCGTGTTGCCCAGCTGTTTGACAACGCGACGCTGAGCGACCATCTGCTCCGTGCCGTCCTCGCGCTGCTGAAGAGAGAAGTCTCCGAGCATGGCCGCCACCTCACCCAGTACTTCCAGCTCTTCCTAATGTACTCCAACCTGGGTGAGTGCGCGGGTGGCGTGGGTGGGCGGGTGGCGTGGGTGTGCGGGCGAGTGGGTGGGTGGGCTGGCAGGCTGGTGGGTGGGTGGGCGGGCGGGCTGGTGGGAGGGCGCGTGAGTGGGCGCATGAGTGGCCTCACCACCCCCCACCATTCTTCACCCTACGCACCCCCCCAACCCCCCGCTCCGCAGGCTTGGCGGAGAAGACCCAGCTGCTGAAGCTGAACGTCCCGGCGACGTTCATGCTGGTGTCCCTGGACGAGGGTCCCGGCCCCGCCATCAAGTACCAGTACGCGGAGCTGGGCAAGCTCTACGCCGTCGTCTCCCACCTGGTGCGCTGCTGCGACGTCTCCAGCTACAGCCAGTCCTCCGTCAACGGTGAGACGCGGGGGCCTTGCGTGCGTACTCGCGTGCATCTGTGTGTACGTGTGTGCGTACACACAGACCCTCTCACCGCTGTGACGTCCTCACCGCCGTGACCCCCCTCACCCTCACCGCAGTGACCCCCTCACCCTCACCGCAGTGACCCCCTCACCCTCACCGCAGTGACCCCCTCACCCTCACCGCAGTGACCCCCTCACCCTCACCGCAGTGACCCCCTCACCCTCACCGCCGTGACCCCCCTCACCCTCACCGCCGCAGGGAACGCTCCCCTGCCGAACCCGTACGGAGAGCCCAGCCTGACGGCGCCGATCATGGCGCTGCAGCCGGCGGTGGCGGAGCTGCTGCTGGCGCGGCCCTCCTACGTCAAGAAGCTCATCGAGGACTGCAACAACGCGGAGGAGACGGTGAAGCTGGTGCGCTTCTGCTGCTGGGAGAACCCCAAGTTTTCCTCCACCGTGCTCAGTGAGCTGCTCTGGCAGGTGGGTGTCCCCCTCCTCCAGGTTGTGGGGGTGAAGATGTCTGTGACAGCTGGTGGTACATCTGCCAGTCATCAAAGTCGATCAACCCATGGCACCTGCTGGCTCTGTTCCGTGACCTCCTCCTTCGGTAGCCTCAAAGTGGTGCACCTGGCCTGGCACGGCGCCGTGGTGACGTCACCGTCACGGAGTGGCGCCTTGCGGGTATTGGTGGCTGAGATGGTGACGGTGGCTGTGGAGATGGTTGAGATTGCGGTGGCATGTTGCGTGTGTCCACGCGTTTGCAGGTGGCCTATTCGTACACGTATGAGCTGAGACCCTACCTGGACCTTCTACTCCAGATCTTGCTCATAGAGGACTCCTGGCAGACGCACAGGTGGGACTTGCGTGCGCGCACACACACACACGTACATACACACACCCACACATACACACACACCCACGTGTCACAGTGCCGGCCTTCATCGGCACTGCTGCTCACTATGAACAGCACTTGTCCCCTAGAGCCCATTGGAGGCTACGTGAGCTAGCAAAATGTATGTACAGTAGAACTCCTCTTGACGAACACCTCTGTTAACGACTCATCGCTGGTTGTTCTCCATAGAGTCCAATGTGTAGTGTACAGTAGTGTATAATAGTGGTGTGTAGTGTATAGTAGTGTAGTTTATAGTAGTGGTGTATAGTGTAGTGTATAGTAGTGTAGTTTATAGTAGTGGTGTGTAGTGTAGTGTTTGTCATGTAGAGTAGTGCCTCCATAGAGTCCAATGTGTAGTGTATAGTAGTGTAGTGTGTAGTGTATAATAGTGTAGGGTGTAGTGTGTAGTGTATAATAGTGTAGGGTGTAGTAGTGTAGAGTGTAGTGTGTAGTAGTGTGTAGTGTAGTTTATAGTAGTGTAGTGTATAGTGTAGTGTATAGTAGTGTAGTGTATAGTGTAGTATATAGTGTAGTGTGTTGTAGTTTATAGTAGTGTAGTGTGTAGTAGTGTAGTGTATAGTAGTATAGTGAATAGTAGTGTGTTATTTTATTTTATCAATTTATTATTTTATTCTCATTCTACGTGACTTTACCGAAAGAACCAAAGAAGAGTAGTGTAGGGTGTAGTGTGTAATAGTGTAGTGTATAGTAGTGTAGGGTGTAGTGTATAGTAGTGTAGGGTGTAGTGTGTAATAGTGTAGTGTATAGTAGTGTATAGTGTAGTGCCTCCATAGAGCCCAATGTGTTCGCTTACTGACCATTCCCCTGTTAACGACGGGCTGCTGTAGGGACTAAATATTAATTAATTCATTGATTAACAATGTTTATTTTAATAGTATGTGTTTATAATGTTTTTAGTATTAATACCCATTGTTTTAATATTAACCCTTTACGGTGTATGCCGTACACTCGCTTAACGACCAAATCACTTAACGACCGGTTGCGTGGAAGCAATTACTGTCAAAACGGGTTCTACTGGATGCATGTTGAACTTCTTTTAGCACCGTGCTAATCGGAGGTGCAAAATTATTATTTGTCTTTTGACGTTGGCTCCAGGATCCACAACGCACTCAAAGGCATCCCCGACGACCGGGACGGGCTCTTCGACACAATCCAGCGCTCCAAGAACCACTACCAGAAGCGTGCCTACCAGTGCATCAAGTGCATGGTGGCCCTGTTGAGCTCCTGCCCTGTGGCCTTCCAGATCCTGCAGGTGATGGGCACCACGGCAGCCCCAGCACGGCCACTCACTCCCTAGCAGGGCCACTCACTCCCTAGCAGGGCCACTCACTCCCCAGCACGGCCACTCACTCCCCAGCACGGCCACTCACTCCCCAGCAGGGCCACTCACTCCCCTAGCACGGTCACTCACTCCCCAGCACGGCCACTCACTCCCTAGCAGGGCCACTCACTCCCCTAGCATGGTCACTCACTCCCCAGCACGGCCACTCACTCCCCAGCAGGGCCACTCACTCCCCTAGCACGGTCACTCACTCCCCAGCATGGCCACTCACTCCCCAGCACGGCCACTCACTCCCCAGCAGGGCCACTCACTCCCCAGCACGGCCACTCACTCCCCAGCAGGGCCACTCACTCCCCAGCACGGCCACTCACTCCCCAGCACGGCCACTCACTCCCTAGCACGGCCACTCACTCCCTAGCACGGCCACTCACTCCCTAGCACGGCCACTCACTCCCCAGCACGGCCACTCACTCCCCAGCACGGCCACTCACTCCCCAGCACGGCCACTCACTCCCCAGCACGGCCACTCACACCACTCCCCACCACCCACCGTGTGGCGCAGGCAAACGGGGACCTCAAGCGCAAGTGGGCGTACGCCGTGGAGTGGCTGGGCGACGAGCTGGAGCGCCGGCCGTACGCCACCAACCCCCAGTACAGCTACAACAACTGGAGCCCTCCCGTGCAGAGCAACGAGACCTCCAACGGCTACTTCCTGGAGCGCTCGCACAGCGCGCGCCTCACCCTGGCCAAGGCCTGCGAGCTGTGCCCCGAAGAAGTGAGCTGCTACCCACCGCCGGCGCCAGCACCTCCCGCTGGCACCTACTGCCCACCGCCGGCGCTGGCGCTCGCCCCTGGCGCTGGCGCTGCCCACCGCTGGTGCTGGCCACCGCTCATGCTGCCCACCCGCCGCTGGCGCTGTCCACCCACCACACTGGCGCTGCCCACCGCTAGCGCTTCCCACTAACACCACCCCCCCCCCCCCCCCCCTGCCGGTTAGACTCGGGGTCAGGGTTAGATTCGGGGTCAGGGTTGGACTCGGGGTCAGGGTTGGACTCGGGGTCAGAGTTAGACTCGGGGTCAGGGTTAGACTCGGGGTCAGGGTTGGACTCGGGGTCAGGGTTAGACTCAGGGTCAGGGTTGGACTCGGGGTCAGGGTTAGACTCAGGGTCAGGGTTAGACTCAGGGTCAGGGTTGGACTCGGGGTCAGGGTTGAACTCGGGGTCAGGGTTAGACTCGGCGTCAGGGTTGGACTCGGGGTCAGGGTTGGACTCGGGGTCAGGGTTAGACTCCGTGCGTGACGCTGTGCTCCCCCCCGTTTCTGTGCGAGTGTGCACAGGAGGCCGAGGAGCAGGAGACTGCCGAGGACCACGACTCCTCCCCTCCAGAAGAGGCCCCCCTCTACCCCTCCGGCACGGCCCCCCACTACCAGGTGACTCATTCGTGCGCGTGCGCGCGTGTGTGTGTGTGCATGTGAGCGTGCGTCCGTGCGCGTCGACTGGTGCGCTGTGTAAAAACATCGCCACTGGGGAGCCAAAAGCAGTCCGGCGTGGTCCTGGCCACCAACCTCCTCGTGTGCTCGTTACGGCCTTCATAGGTGCTCGCTGACAGCACTTGCCCCAACAGACTGTTCAGACTATAGGGGGGATCTCTGTCTTTGTGCGAGTGCCTTGTGTGTGTGGAGCGGTTTTAGTAGTGGAGCAACGCTCACAACAACGAGCGGTGCACCAGGCGGCTACAACTCAGCGAGGTGGCACCTTTGAGGGCACAGCTGTTCCATCGGCCAGTCAGTCAACCCATGGCATCACCGCGGTCTGTCCCGTGACCTGCCAGCGGGCGTTCGACACTTCACGTTGCCTTAAAGTGCACCTTGCCTGGCACAGCCACCGTGGCGATGTCACCGCCAATTAGTGGCGAATGGCGGTTGTTGTTGTTGTTGCGTGTCTGTGTGTAGTGGGAGCGGCGGTGTAGCGGTTAGCGCCGCGCTGCGCTACCAACCCGGCGACCCGAGTTTGATCCCCGCTCACGACCACCAACACCACCAGTGACGGTTATCTGAACCGGTCCTGGGCCTCCCCTAGGTCGACTCGGCCTCAGAAGAGTACCTGGTGCGGTGTGTGTAGTATACATCGCCACTAGGGGGAGACAAAGGCGGCCGGGTCGGCGAGGTGCTGGCCACCCCCCACCCCCTCGTGCAGCGTGCCGGCCTTCATAGGTGCTCGCTAACAGCACTTGGCCAGGAAACTTGTTAAAGCTACACAGGTTTGGGGGTACCTTTGTCTTTGTGTGACTACGTTCTGTGTGTTGTCAGAAGTTCATCACCTCGTGGTGCCCATTCTCTCCCGACAGAACAACCAGGTGCAGGGCGGTGGCGGTGGTGGCGGCGGTGGTGCTACCACTCCCTACACCGGCCCCGCCGCCAACCACATGAACAACCCCCGTGCCGCCCAGCAACCGTCGTCGCCACAGCAACCGTCGTCGCCACAGCAACCGCCGTCGGCCCAGCAACCGCCCGCATCCACCCCCACCAGCACCGGCACCGCCCCGACGCCACACTCTCCGCCGCCGCCGCCGCCGCCGCAGCAGCAACTGCCACAACCGCAATCGTCGTCCCAGCAACCGCAACAAGCGGCACAGCAGCAACCGGCACAGCAACAACAACCGGCGCAGCAGCAGCAGCAGCAACCGCAGCAGCAACCGCAGCAGCAGCGAGCGGCGGTGACGACGGCGACGACGGCGGCGCAGGAAGACTGGGAGGCGGAGGAGGACAGTTCCACGCAGCGACACAAGGACTAGGCGGCACGGCACGCGTGGCGCGGTGCGGCCAGGCAGGAACCGCCCCCCGCTCGCACCGCTCCCTCGCCCGCCCGCTCGTCCGCTCGTCCGCCCGCCCGCTCTTACGCTCGCCCGCTCGGATCGTTAGCGCAGGGTGAACCCACTGCAGCGCCCCTCCCTTCCCCCCCCACCTCTGCCTGTCGCTCGCCGTGTCCCACCCCGCGTGTTGGTTTTGTTGTTGGGCGGTTTATCGGCAACGGCGGTGGAGGCAGGCAGCCGTGTGATTGGCTGCCTCCCCATCCCCCCCGCTCCCCCCCCACCCCAGCTACGGGTTACGTGACCGCGATCGCCGACCAATCGTTGGGTGGATTCTCGGTGGCGGTGGTCGTGGCCCAGTTTTTTTCCCACCGCCGCGGTTTAAATCGACCGGAGGAGGTGGCTGCATGGTGGGTGCCCCCCTCCCTCCCCCACTCCCCTGCCCCCCCCCCCCCGCTCCCCCCCCACGGCACGGCGTGTGTCGGCACGGTGGCGCGGTGGCGGAACGGACGACGTTTGGCTGGGAAGTTTTGGGTGTTGTGTGTTTGCGTGCGTGGGTGGGTGGGTGGGGTGTGTTGCTGGGGGGGGCCGGCATGAATTTGGGGGGGGGGGGCGACTCCGCTAATGTCAAGGAGATGAGCGGAGAGGGATCCCAACGCTCTCTCTCACGTCGCCATCGTCGTTGTTTATAATTCGCCGTTTATTTTTTTGCCGTCGTCACCGTTGTTCATCCCCCCTCTCCAACCACCACCATCGCTGTCCTCCACCTTCCCCACCGTGCAGGCTGGGCGGTGATTCTCTGTGTACAGCGCCCCCCCCCCCGTGTGCCGGATGTATATAGTGTACCCTACGTTCGCGTGTTTGGCTCGCCCCTCGGCTGGAGACGCCCGCACCACCCACCCACCCCCCGTCTCACCGATATTCATCTCCATCATCGGAGAGACCTCAACCTCAAATCTGCTCCCCGCCAAGCTCAACCTCCTCCTCAAGGTCCTTGCCTCCATCCGTCTCTCCCAAGTCCCCCCCCCCCCCCCCCCCCCCCACGTGATGCACCGCCTCCGCCACAGTTTGGCACTCGCGCCCCTCCCGCTGTGTCTCCCAGAGCTCACGAACGCGCGACCGCTGTCACATCGGCGGTGTTTACTACAGCCTCACGTTACATGTCATCTGGGCGGACGGACAGACGCGTGGATGGGTCTGGTTGACGGGCGGGCGGGCGGGCCGGGCGGATGGAGAGAGGAGGAGACGGGCGGAGAGAGAGGCGAGGGTTGAGGCGTGGGCGGCTCGGAGCGAGCTGTGGCCCTCGAGGGAGTTATGGGGCGAGGGTGATGCGGGCGAGATGGAGGGGTTCACGGTGAGATGGGATATCGAGGGTGAGGAAGACGTGGGGGGTGGGGTGAGCGGACAGGGTGAGGCGCTGCGCCACGAACCCCGCGGAGAACCCGAGTTTGATTCCCGCTCGCCGCCACCATCACCGGCGACGGTGATTGCCCGAATCGGTGCTGGCCCTCTCCTAGGTCGACTCGGCCTCCTCAAACGAGTACCCGTGCGCGGTGTGTGGTAAACATCGCCACTGGGGAGACAAAGGCGGCCGGGCGTGGTGCTGGCCACCCACCCCCTCGTCTGCCACAGTGCCGGCCTTCACAAGTGCTCGCAAACGGCGCTTGCCCTTACAGTCTGTTACAGGCTGCAGGGGTGGGATCTTTGAGGGAGCTTGAGGTTAGTTGAAGATACGTGGGGTGGGTCCAAGATGGGCTGAGAAGGAAGGGGGGGAGTGAGACACTCGATGTCGTCGGGGCGAGGTGGAGGTCGGGGCGTGTGAGATGGGGAGCCAGAGTGGGTTAAGCGGGGTCCGAGGAGGAGGGTGTGGAGGGTGAGGAGGAGTGGGGGGGGGGCAGTGCTCGTGGTGATGCGGGGGGGTGGGGGGCTGCTCGGCCAATTAAATGCGTTGCATGATTTTTTCGGGAAAAAATGCGGAGGCATTTTAAGTAAGTAAAAAAAAAAGTGCGCTTATTAATTATAATTACTATCGATATTATCGTTATTATTATTACCGTGTTGGTGTGGGGGAGCGGGGGGGGGGGGCGCGCACGGGCGGAGGCAGCCGAGCGACGCGGGCGCCACGTGAGCGGAGTCGCAGCAAGCGGCAAACAAACTCCGACAACAAAACCAACCACCGCCGCCACCACCGCAGCGCCAACAACACCATCACCACCACCGCCAGCCAGCCAGCCAGCCACGCACCACCGCGTCTCGTATGTTTGCACATATTATGCCGAGAGTTAATATTTCGTTTGGCGTATTGGCCGCATAAAAAAAAGAGACATGTTTTGAGACCGAGGGGTAAAAAAAAGAAAAAAAAGAGTGATTTAAACGTTCGCGTGTCGTTCTGCCCCCCTCCTTCGTGACTGCCCCCCCCCCACTGCCACATCCGAAGCAGCTGCCACCATCACCCTTCACATCGGGCCTCTCCAACAACACACTTGGCCACGATCGAGTCATAGTAGTAACGACAAGGTTCGATTATCACAACACTCGCTACTTTACAGGACGTCTGATAGAAACATGACCAACCTTGCAGCGTGCACAACATTCTCTGGCACGTGTGGTGACGGTGACGGCTGCTGCAAGATCCGACGCCGTGTCCGTCCAGTGCTCGCTAAGCTGCCATTGGCTTCCGGTTGCCGAACAAAAACATTACAAGGTAGCACTCATTACACACAAAGTGCTTGCCACAAATGAGTCGCAAATACGTCGCTGATCTCGACATGGAGCATGAACCTTCATCACGCGACACTCCGGTGGTCATCACGGCAGCCTAACCGGTGAACAAAAACGGGCACCGCATCGCGCTTTCAGATGCGCTTCTGCGGCCGTCTGGAATGCTCTTCCGATACTAGGAAGCCTGTGGAGCGATGCACTTTAAAATAATTTAAATTGAAAACTTATTTATTTAGAACAAGTTTTCGTTTAGTTGTCCTTCCACCGCACCTCCGATTAGCACGGTTGGCTAAGTATGGTGCGAAAGAAGTTCAACATCCATTAAATCTGTTAAATCCATAGGTGGTCACCAACACACTTCGGCTGATCACCAATCGGACATGCATCCGTGTGTGCCAGGCACGAGGTTTGTAGGCCTTTCATTAAATCTGGTTTAAACAAAACTACTTTTTATTTTACCAGATAGGGCCCACTGAGCTCTGTCACACCTGACCGACAAATGATAGCTCAACGAAGTGGCTTATCTTCTGTAAATTTACAGCAGCCAAATACTTTAAACGTATTTCATAGGTGGTGACCAACACGCTCCAGCTGATCATTCGAATCTTCATCACGTGTACCAGGCACAAGGTTATACTAATTATGTTATACTACGAATGGAAAGCCTCGGTAACCTCGAAGATTGCACGCAAGCGGCACGCGTGTGGTTTGCACGAAATGAAATGCTGCTTAATCCAGGGGAAAAAATCGGAGGCTCTGCCGCTTGGCACTCGGGATCAGGCGAAAAGATTTGTGGGAGGATCAGGCGTGGCGGCCGCGGACTCCAGGATTCCGTTTTCTACTCTAGAGCCTCCATTCTCGACCATAATTCGTTTGACCGCCACCTACAAAATATAGTCTGCAGTTTCCATATCATGGCTCTCGAACACATTTAACCACTTGGGTCGTGACGGCAAACATGGTGGCGTGTAGTAGCGTAGTATATCGACAAGGATCGATTATGACAACACGCTCCAGGACGTCTGGAAAGCAACATGACCAAGCGGCAGCGTGCACGACATTTCTCTCCGGCACGTGTGGTGACGTCCGCTGCTCGCCGAGCCGCTTTGGATTCCGGTTGCCGGAGGAGCTCGTTGGAAGGTCGCGCTCGTTACGCCCGCAAAGTGCTTGCCGCAAAGTAACCACAATACCTCGCTGATCTCGTAACGGAGCATGAACCACCATCGTAAGGCAAACTGCGGTCATCCTCAACGGCTTGTGGCGAACCATCGCACAAAGACGGCGGTCACTGCATCGCATGGCGCTTTCGGATGCGCATCTGCGGCCATCTGGAATGTTCTTTCAATAGGTGACCACTGGAGCGAGGCACTTTTGAATCGGCTCGATCGAAAACCAATTTCTCTAGAGCTGCTTAATGTGTTTAGATGTCCTTCCCCCGCACCTCCAAATCGCACGGTTGGCTACGTACGTTATAAAGGTTTTTGGGGTAGATCGCGTTATTTATAAATGTGTCGTAACCCTCCACCCCCGACACGGCCAATCAGCAAAAAAAGTGTCACGTTGACAAAAGACAAATAGTTCACTACTTTAGCCCACCGGTGTGTTGAAGAGTGAATCCACAACATTTACAGTTTTGAGTACGACGTTTCGCTGGCAATTACATCCAGCATCATCGGGCAATTCGCCAGAATGGTAAAGCCCTCGCTTGCTCCCGGTTTTAAATAGAGCAGCAGGGTGATGTCATCATTTAACTCATCAGGTGCATTCTGGCGAATTGCCCGATGATGCTGGATGTAATTACCAGCGAAACGTCGTACTCAAACTGTAAATGTTGTGGATTCACTCTTCAACACACCGGTGGGCTAAAGTAGTGAATTATTTGTCTTTTGTCAACGTGACACTTTTTTGCTGATTGGCCGTGTCGGGTGGTGGAGGGTTACGACACATTTATAAATAACGCGATCTAACCCAAAAACCTTTATTATGAATAATATTGGTCGCGAAAGCCTACGTGTTAAACTGGCTACGTACGGTGCGAAAGAAATTTAACAAACGTTAAATCTGGTTTCTGGAGCTCGTCACCCAAATGCTGATCATCATCAGGAACTCCATCCCGAGTGCCAGGTACTCGATTGTCGTACTTGTGTGATATCTGGTTTACATATAGGAGTGGCGTTTAGAGTGGAGTGTTTGGAACTTCGTTCGCACCGTACGTAGCCAACCGTGCTAATTGGAGGTCCGGGGGAAGGACCACAAACTAAACATGAAAATCAGTTCTACAGAAATCTGGCTGAGTTAATATCAGAAGGAAGAGCACCATAGAGACCCACAGATACTCATGTTTGTATGTCGAACTATTTTAGCACCTTACGTAGCCAACCGTGCTAATCTTTAGTGGGGGGGGGGGGCGGGTGAAGGACAACGAACGAAACGCAAATCCGTTCTCAGCGGCTTCTCGACGCCCACCCACGGATAAAATGGAGTGATGGAACAGATGGAGATTAGTCCACATTCTGCTGTAGGAGGGAGAGATTGAACAGATGGAGATTAGTCCACACTTTCGGAGGGAGAGATGGAACAGATTGAGATTAGTCCACACCTTACTATAGTAGGGAGAGATGGAACAGATGGAGATTAGTCCACACTCTGCTGTAGGAGGGAGAGATTGAACAGATAGAGATTAGTCCACCTTACTATAGGAGGGAGAGATGGAACAGATGGAGATTAGTCCACACTCTGCTGTAGGAGGGAGAGTTGGTACAGATGGAGATTAGTCCACTACTATAGGAGGGAGAGATGGAACAGATGGAGATTAGTCCACTACTATAGGAGGGAGAGATGGAACAGATGGAGATTAGTCCACACACTGCTGTAGGAGGGAGAGATGGAACAGATGGAGATTAGTCCACACTGCTGTAGGAGGGAGAGATGGAACAGATGGAGATTAGTCCACTACTATAGGAGGGAGAGATGGAACAGATGGAGATTAGTCCACTACTATAGGATGGAGAGATGGAACAGATGGAGATTAGTCCACACACTGCTGTAGGAGGGAGAGATGGAACAGATGGAGATTAGTCCACACTGCTGTAGGAGGGAGAGATGGAACAGATGGAGATTAGTCCACTACTATAGGAGGGAGAGATGGAACAGATGGAGATTAGTCCACTACTATAGGATGGAGAGATGGAACAGATGGAGATTAGTCCACACACTGCTGTAGGAGGGAGAGATGGAACAGATGGAGATTAGTCCACACTTCTGTAGGAGGGAGAGATGGAACAGATGGAGATTAGTCCACTACTATAGGAGGGAGAGATGGAACAGATGGAGATTAGTCCACACACTGCTGTAGGAGGGAGAGATGGAACAGATGGAGATTAGTCCACACTGCTGTAGGAGGGAGAGATGGAACAGATGGAGATTAGTCCACCGTCTGCAGGGAGCCGGTGGAGTGTGCTGTCCAGGTGAGGGGGGAGCAGCTGCCCTTAGCGGAGGAGTCTTAAGAACCTCGGGGTGGGGGGGGGGTCTCTTCGCGAGTGATGGTGGTGAGTGGCAGCGAGAGAACAGCCGCTGGATCGGTGCGGCGTACGGAGTGATGCGGGGCCTGTCCCCTTCCATGGTAGTAAAGCAGGAGCTGCCTTCTTGAACAAACCTCAAGGTTGACAGGTTGATCAACGTTCCCGCCCTCGCCTATGGTCATGAGCTTTGGTTAATTAATGAACGAAAGGGTGAGATCGCGGGTGCAAGGGGTCGAATGAGGTTTCTCCGCAAGGATTGCCGGGCTCGCCACTCTCCGGGATCGGGCGAGGCGCTCGGTAATCCGGGAGAGTCTCCCGAGTCGAGCGGCTGGTCCTCCAGATCGCGAGGAGCCAGTTGAGGTGGTTCGAGAACCTGGTAAGGATGCCCCCCCGGTAGACTCCCCCTGGAATTCCAGCGGGCAGCAGCGCGTCCCATTGGGCGAAGACCCCGGGGCCGGCCCAGGACTGGCGGGACGATGTCTCTCGGCCGGCCTGGGAACACCCTGAGACTTCCCCCCAAGGGAAAGGGAGGTCTGGACCGCCCTACTCGGCATGCTGCTGCAACCCTCATCAGGACGAGCGGACTGCGAAACGAACGAACATTGCTCCAGTCGCGCCTTCTGCTTGGGGACTGGCCCCAGGGGATGAAGCCGGTCTCTTCGACGGTTGGGGGTTTGTAGGGAGAGGCTCCATCCATAATCCTTGGTTCTTTCGGTAACGTCACGTAGGTAGAAAAATAAAACAAATGTTTCTAGCTACTGCGTGACTTTACCGAAAGAACCAAAGAGTATGGATTCCTGCAATCACGAAAGCTTCAAATCAAGATTGGAGGTGCCATCCCTTTGCCGGTCCCTCTCCATAGAAAATCTCCACTGGGGAAATCCGACCTTCAAAGTAGGGGCGGGGGGGTAAGGTGAGCGAGCTGGAGGGAGGCCGGCCCAGAGACTGGGCGATCCTCTGTCCAAGGAGCAGGGCCGGATGAAGGTTCTTGTCAGCTGGTACTGCTGCCCCGTGTCACTACCCCCGCCGCCGTCACTCTGCTTGTCTCACGCGCCACTTCGTCCAGCCGCTGAACAGATGTCTCCGATCAAGCACAGGACAAGACAAAGGCCTCGTCTTCCCCCGGTCGAGTGCCAGGGGGAGTCTACGGGGGATGGGGGTGACGGGGGGGGCATCCTCACCGGGTGCCCTCGCCACCTCAACCGGGCACCGTAAATGGACACAAACCTGGCGGGGCCAATCGGTTAATGTGCGGCACCTCCAGGGCCAACGGGAGAAGAGCAACCGCTGGTGGCGACCCATAGACTCATCACACAGACCAATAGACTCATCACACGCAGACTCAGACTCATCACACGCAGACCCATAGACTCATCACACAGACCCATAGACTCACCACAAGAGACCCATAGACTCATCACACAGACCCATAGACTCATCACAAGAGACCCATAGACTCATCACACGCAGACCCATAGACTCATCACATAGACTCACCACAAGAGACCCAAAGACTCGCCATACAGAGACCCATAGACTCGTCACACAGAGACCCATAAACTCGTCACACGCAGACCCATAAAGTCGTCACACGCAGACCCATAGACTCGTCACACGCAGACCCAGAGACTCATCACACAGACCCATTAACTCGTCACACGCAGACCCATAGACTCATCACACACAGACCCATAGACTCATCACACACAGACCCATAGACTCACCACAAGAGACCCATAGACTCATCACATAGACTCACCACAAGATACCCATAGACTCATCACACAGACCCATAGACTCATTACAAGAGACCCATAGACTCATCACACAGACCCATAGACTCATCACAAGAGACCCATAGACTCATCACACAGACCCATAGACTCATCACACAGACCCATAGACTCATCACACAGACCCATAGACTCATCACACAGACCCATAGACTCACCACAAGAGACCCATAGACTCATCACACAGACCCATAGAATCGTCACACGCAGACCCATAGACTCACCACACAGACCCATAGACTCATCACAAGAGACCCATAGACTCATCACACAGACCCATAGACTCACCACAAGAGACCCATAGACTCATCACACAGACCCATAGACTCATCACAAGAGACCCATAGACTCACCACACAGACCCATAGACTCACCACAAGAGACCCATAGACTCATCACAGACCCATAGACTCATCACGCAGACCCATAGACTCATCACACAGACCCATAGACTCGTCACACGCAGACCCATAGACTCATAACACAGACCCATAGACTCGTCACACAGACCCATAGACTCACCACAAGAGACCCATAAACTCGTCACACGCAGACCCATAGACTCATCACACAGACCCATAGACTCACCACAAGAGACTCATCACACAGACCCATAGACTCGTCACACGCAGACCCATAGACTCACCACACAGACCCATAGACTCATCACACAGACCCATAGACTCATCACAAGAGACCCATAGACTCATCACACAGACCCATAGACTCATCACACAGACCCATAGACTCACCACAAGAGACCCATAGACTTACCACATAGACTCACCACAAGAGACCCATAGACTCATCACACAGACCCATGAACTCGTCACACGCAGACCCATAGACTCACCACACAGACCCATAGACTCACCACAAGAGACCCACAGACTCGCCATACAGAGACCCATAGACCCATCACACAGACCCATAGACTCACCACAAGAGACCCACAGACTCGCCATACAGAGACCCATAGACCCATCACACAGACCCATAGACTCACCACAAGAGACCCACAGACTCGCCATACAGCGACCCATAGACTCATCACGCAGACCCATAGACTCGTCACGCAGACCCATAGACTCGTCACACGCAGACCCATAGACTCATCACACAGACCCATAGACTCATCACACAGACCCATAGACTCACCACAAGAGACCCATAGACTCGCCATACAGAGACCCATAGACTCGTCACACGCAGACCCATAGACTCGTCACACACACCCATAGACTCGTCACACACAGACCCATAGACTCACCACAAGAGACCCATAGACTCACCCATACCTGTCAACCCATACGGTTTAACCCGTATTATTGGACAGGGAAATGAGTTTGCAGGTCCAAACAGCGTACAGCCGTTTCAGTAGGGTAACAATATTTAAAAAAAAAAATGTCTATTGGTGTTTCTAACTTTGTGATGGGACTTTGTAGGATGAACGTTGAGATTTATAAATGGTCTGAAATAAGGTAGGGCACTAATAAGGCGTTCACAGACATGCAAACCTTAAATATCCACCTCGCCTGGTAAGCAGGAGGACTATGGGTTCGATCCCGACCCTGATGCCTGCCGTCTATTTGGAGTTTGTGTTTCTCCCTCCCTACCACCATCATCACGGTGGCTATGAGATGTTGACTACCCCGCCTGGTACGCAGGAGGTCGTGGGTTCGATCCCGACCCTGACGACGCCTGCTGCTGTATTTGGAGTCTGCGTCTCTCATCATCACGGTGGCTATGAGATGTTGACTACCTCGCCTGGTGTACAGGAGGTCGTGGGTTCGATCCCGACCCTGACGACGCCTGCTGCTGCTGTATATTTGGAGTCTGCGTCTCTCTCATCATCATCACGGTGGCTATGAGATGTTGACTCCCTCGCCTGGTGTACAGGAGGTCGTGGGTTCGATCCCGACCCTGACGACGCCTGCTGTATATTTGGAGTCTGCGTCTCTCTCCCCGTGGTGGTCGCTGCGTGGACTTTCCCCTCCACAATCGACATCAGCAGCACGTGCTGAGAGTAATTGTGGCTGCTGCTCGACATGACCACGTGGTGGTGATGACGATAATGAAGCCGTCACGTGGTGGTGGTGATGACGAAGACGAAGCTGAGTTGAGCTGCTATCATTGGTGATGGCCAGGGGGTAGCTTTTGAACAAGAGCGACTGCACAGCAGATCGGTGGGGACTTACAGCTGATGACAATAAACAGTTTATAGTTTAAACAGCTTGCGAGAGCGGCTTTGGGTGGTGGACTACAAGAGCTTAAATTGAATTAGGTCAAAGGTGGGCACCAAACCTCCCAGGCGACTTGTGAATGGCGTAATAACAATCGCACGCCGATTAATCATCGCTTAATTATACGCCAAAAATAAAACTTGATTCGAGGTTTAAATCCTGAAGGTGGGAACCAAGCAAGCAAGGCTCGTGCAGGATGTAGGCCGCAGCCTGCACGCTCCGCACGCCCTCTCTCCATCCCGACGACTCCTCCTCCCCACCCTCTCTCTCCCCACCCTCTCTCTCCCCACCCTTTTCCCCCCACCCTCTCTCTCCCCACCCTCTCTCACGTCTCTCCCCACCCTCTCTCTGCCCACCCTCTCTCTCCCCACCCTCTCTCTCCCCACCCTCTCTCACGTCTCTCCCCACCCTTTCCCCCCACCCTCTCTCACGTCTCTCCCCACACTCTTCCTCCCCACCCTCTCTCTCCTCACCCTCTCCCCCCACCCTCTGCCCACCCTCTCTCATGTCTCTCCCCACCCTTTCCCCCCACCCTCTCTCACGTCTCTCCCCACACTCTTCCTCCCCACCCTCTCTCTCCTCACCCTCTCCCCCCACCCTCTCTCTCCCCACCCTCTGCCCACCCTCTCTCACGTCTCTCCCCACCCTCCCTGCCCACTCGCCCTCCCCACACTCTCCCCACCCTCCACCCTCCCCACCCTCTCTCCTCCCATCTCTCCCTCCCCACCCTCTCCCTCCCCACACTCTCTCCTCCCATCTCTCCCTCCCCACCCTCCACCCTCCCCCCACTCTCCCCACCCTCCCCCCAGCCTCTCTCTCCTCCCATCTCTCTCCACCCTCCCCCCACTCTCCCCACCCTCCACCCTCCCCACCCTCCCCCCAGCCTCTCTCTCCTCCCATCTCTCTCCACCCTCCCCCCACTCTCCCCACCCTCCACCCTCCCCCCCCTCCCCCCAGCCTCTCTCTCCTCCCATCTCTCTCCACCCTCCCCCCACTCTCCCCACCCTCTCTCTCTCTCCTCCCATCTCCGTCCATCTCCCCCCACCCGTGCGGGAGAGCCAGCGAGGTGGTGGTGGTGGCGATGAAGAAGACGACGACGATGATGGTGGTGGTGGTGGCGGCGGCTCGCGGTTGACAATCGCCGGAGCGTCGCGATCAATCCATCTGTGCGGCGGCACCAGCGGTGGTTGTGGCAGCGGGAAGAAGCGAAGAGATTTACCACCTCCCTCTCCTTGGGGAAAATTCCATTCCATCTTGCGACCACTACCACCAACAATCACCGAGGCAATTAACGCTTGCCAATTAACAATCGGGAAGGACAATTGTATAACAATCGTTCCTGTAGCGTGGTTGTGTGTGGTGGTGGTGGGGGGAGGAGGAGGTGGTGGATAAGATTTGAAATTGGCGAGAGATGAGGCATCATCATCAGCAGCATCACCACGTCCCATTATCTGCGGATTAACCTGGACTCTGCCTTAAGACTCCGGGGGGTCACGGGGAGGAGGAATGAACGAAGCGTTTAAGGAAGGAAGAGGAGTTTAAGGAAGGTTCAAGCGACGTTCGGACCGAACATTAATTTTGTATGATTCTCTCTCTGGTGGGAGGCGATTTACAAGAAGCCCGATCCGAGCAGCTGGCACGGAGGACGGAGGAGGCCGGCCGAAGACAAACACATGCTATTTTTTTGGTGCTAACGAACAAAACATTGGTTGTGAGATTTGAAAAAGGAACACTAAATATTGAAATGATTTTTTAATGGGGGAGGGAAAGTGCGATTGAATTGATTTGTTGAATTCCTACACCGGCAGGTAAGAAGACATCGGCCGCTTGTCACCATCACCACTACCATCATAATTGTCATCACCTGCACCACCATCACCACAATAAACATCAGCACCAACAACAACCACCATCGCCTGCACCACAACCATTATCACCTGCACCATCACATGCACTACAACCACAACACCACCACCTTACACCACAACCACAATCCCTGCCGTGCATAAAATGAAAGGCAACGCCTTCAACCGATGGCAAATCAAAAAGGGAATCATTTAACCACCATCACCACAACCACCATCACTTGCACCACAACCACCATCACTTGCACCACAACCACAATCACCTGCACCACAACCATCACCTGCACCATTACCAACACCACAACCATTACCACCACCATTAACCACGACTTTAACCATCAGCCAGGCGGGTTCCCATTGATTTTCACCGCAGCTTTAAACCACAACCACCATCACCACCACCACAACCACCACCATCACCACCACAACCACCATCACAACCACCACCACAACCACCATCACCACAACCACCATCACCACCACCACGATCATGAGCAGCATCAGCCGTCACGTCTCGCGTTAACCTGCACCGCAGCCACCACCATCAGCAGTGGTATCAGCAGCAACATCATCAGCAGTAGCATCAGCAACATCATCATCGGCAGCAGTAACATCAGCATCATCAGTAGTAGCATCAGCAGCATAATCAGCATCAGCAGCAGTAACATCATCAGCATCATCAGCAGCAGTAACATCATCAGCAGTATCAGCAGCAGCAGCATCAACATCAGCAGCTGTAGCATCAGCAGCTGTAACATCAGCAGCATCAGCAGCTATAACATCAGCAGCATCAGCAGCTGTAACATCAGCAGCAACAGCAGCGGTATCCGCATCAGCAGCTGTCACGTCTCGAGTTAATCTGCACCGCAGCCAACGCCACCACCACCACCACCATAATCGCCAACACAACCACCATCACCGCAACCACCCACCATCACCGCAACCACCATCACCGCAACCACCATAACCACCATCATCAGCAACCATCATCACTACAACCACCATCATCAGCAACCACTATCACCACAACCACCACCATCACCGCAACCACCATAACCACCATCATCAGCAAGCACCACAACCACCATCACCACAACCACCACCATAACCACCATCACCACAACCACCATCACCACAACCACCACCATCACCACAACCATCACCACAACCACCATCACCACCACAACCACCACCATCGGTGTCGGCTCGACGTTCATGCGACTTGGCCTGGTGACCCAACAGAGGCAGGCGACGCAGCGGCAGCAGCAAGAGGGAGGTGAAGAAGGAGAAAGAGGAGGCGGCTGGTTGTTGTTGTTGTTGTCGTCTTGCGGGGTCTGCGATGGCGGACGACGACGTGCTGTTCGAGGACGTCTACGAGCTGTGCGAGATCATCGGCAA